TTTGCATTTGTAACGTCAATGCTCGTCACACGTGACATTTGGACAAGCGCACATATGCATATGACTTATAAACTGCACTGAGTTCGTGCCACTGCGCGGTGGTACGTAAATACTTGTTTCACCCCAATAAATATACGTTTATTAATTTATGTTTTATAAAGAAGCTAATATTGAGTCAATTATAAAAAAAAAATCACAAATTTCACATACTTAATTAGGTATGTGTGATTTGCGTATTGAGAACTGTTTTTTTTTCCCGACCCACAATCGACCCTTCCGATTCGGATCGGCCCCCATTCACCCCTCTGTCTCAGATCGACCCCCGCTTTTGTTAAATAGACCCCTGGGGGTCTATATAGACCACTTTGGCGACCTCTGACCTAAACTAATCCTAACAGTCTTTTTGGCTAATACGCGATCGCCAAACTATTTTCAAATCTAATATTCATGATGGGGGGAGGGGTTATTTTTGGCAATGTTGCCTTTTCGATAATTCTCCTTTCTTGGATTTCTTTCCATGTTCCTAACTGACAGTTGGGAACAATTCATTCAATTTCATATTTGGCATATTTCAATTTCATATTCATTCAATATTTGGCGACTGGTGGGAGGGGGGGGAGGCCTTGGTCCCAACTATTGAATATCAATCGTAACAGAAATTCTCGATATGAAGAGAATGGTTTTTCTTGATCCATTTAAGTTTTTTTTAATTTTCTTTATTTTTATATTTAAACTATGGCCATTTTTAATCTTCTAATATTTACCTAATAAATCAAATTTTTCTTAACGATTTTATTCATTTCTTTGAGATCACTACATTAGATCCAAATGGAAGTGTATCTCACAGAACCAAACTATATGCTGAGTACTACAATGATGCTACTTGTATGAATCCTTAATTAGTTACTGCCACCACAATCGCACTATACTTACCATCTTGGAAATCTGGGTGTCCCAGGTACAAATCTCTGCAAGTCCTTGCCGGGTTCTTCCGGGTCCCCAAAGGTTTCTTTATGAGCACTATCTCTTTCCTCATGATATAGATGTTGGCGTACATGTTCAGCAATTTGTCTTGGAGTGTTTCGGCCTTCTCTTCGGTCTGACCCGTCGTCGCCTCCTTTTTGGGGAAAATGTCATCCTCTTCGATGTCGTCGACGCTTCTCTTGTGACGTAAATAAGGATAATCTCTTTGGAACAAAATTTCTGGTGGAATTTGAGGACCTTCACCTGGAGGACCCTTGAGAACAAAATTTAGTTTCAGAAGCAAAGACAAGTAAAACAAAGTAAAGTGTTTAGTTTTTAAAGAAAAATATGTATAATAGTTGCTTATAATTTACTTATATGTTTTTTTTTAATTATTTCACATGGCAAAAGCCAAATTAAGATCTACCATGATTTTTATAACTAAAACAGTTTCATTAGAAATTTTATTTAAATGACATATTCAAAAGTATACTTACTGGTGGACCACCTGGACCCTAAAATAAAGGAAGAGAACAAAATTGTATTAAAGTTTTAGCAAAAATTATAAAAATAGAGAGACAACGCACACAAGCGAAAAAGTGTTTTATTCAGGAAATAAAATTAAACACCCACACGCATGCATGCAAAAACACGCACACTAGTAGAATCAGTTTATAATTATAACAATTATAATTTAATGCACGAATAAAAAAATTTTAATTTCTAAATATTTCACAAATTTATAAAGAGCTAAAAAGAGCTTTAATATGAAACAAAATCTCACCTTTTAACTTCTCTACGTTTTAGAAGAGAATTACAATAATGCTAGTGCAATTTAGCAGAATTTTAAAGCATTTAACACTAGGTTTACGGGACGCGTCATTTTGACGCATTTCGAATTTTATAAGGAAAATTACAAAACCTGTTTGCATTTCTATTTTATCTCTTGTAATGACTTTTATCCATTGATCAAGGTAAATATATATTCAATTCTATTTTCCTTAAAAGCGTTGAAATTCTCTTTGTGGTATGCCTATTTCTACGGATATGCGTCAATTTGACGCAATCTTAATTTAGACAAAACTTTGAGTAAACGTGCAAGCACCACATCAATAATAAACAGGAATGTACAGACAATACTTCGATCCGTTATCTCAAATGAAACAAGCGATAAACAACTGTTGCCGATAAGCAATAATAGAAAGAACAAACGCAGAATGTCAATTGATGTCAGATTTTTAAGGTCTTAGTTGCTTAGCATTTCATAAATATATCTCTCATATTTTCATTTTTTTTCTTATAGCATATAATTACATTGATTTCTAAGTGAAGAGATGCCAACTGCTCCGGACACGCCAAAATAATTAAAAAAACGGTAAATAACTACTAAGTAAATTTTGCAAATATGAAGTGGTGAATTATATAAGTTGTTTGGAAATAGTGGTGGATAAAAATCTACTAAATTGAATTTATTAAACCAAGAATCACAATTGATAAACTACCACTTTAAAATACATATTTGCTGTCCGGAGCAAGTTGGCATCTCTGTGAGTGCTGTTATCTGTATTTGTTCATGCGTCAAATTGACGCGTGTTCGTAAAGATAGGTGCATAAGAAACGTCCGTAAACCTAGTGTTAAAATGGTCATTGCATTTGTATTTGTTTTCCTTTATATGCATGCTTGGATAACCACGGAATTTCGAGTTTTTCTTTTTCTCGATAAAAATTAAAGAAGTAGATTCCTTTTTTAACGAGTAATAAATACTAAATTGACGAATTAATTCAATAGCTTATCTTTTAACTACTACGGAATTTTTGCAGTTTTAAAAAATAAATTTTCCTATTGTTAGCAGCAAAAAAAAATATATTCATACAACATACAAACAACGATAAATGAATTAATTAAACACGTACAGGCCTGCCAACTTTCCAGGTTTTTGGAAAAATGTCATCTAGTGGTATTCAAGTTTACGCCTTGGTTCTTTCTTTCATAAATTTGATTTAGAGTTATTTTTCAAACCATTACTTGTGAATCATTCGTAAGCTTGTATAAAAAGCCACTTTGTGCCAAATATTCTCGTGGGGCCTCCCTGGCCGAGCGGTATTATCTGCCAAATGCTTTGCAAATCGTAGAGGTTGTGGGTTCGAATCCCGTTGGTACCCTGGATGTATATTTGTGCCGTATTGTGCTATTTGTCCTTCTATATGACAAAGGTTTATAAGCCTTAATTGGAACACACAAGCCTGCAAATGTGTGCTGTAATAATAATTAAAAAAAACTACCTCTTAGGGGTGAGGCTTTTAAAATGTTAACAAAATGACCAAAAAGCTCTGTAGGCCTTAGTGTTTAATTGTTTATCACTCAATAAAATATTTTGCAAAAAGCGTAGTAGTTGTCATCGCTGCAGGTACATAAATTGTCAAATAATTAAAAGTTATTAAAAACTCTTTCCCACTGGAAAAATATATTTCGCAAACACACTTCAAATGTCGAAGGTTGTGCCCAAGCCGGAAATTTTTTGAATGTATTTCTCAGATACTCCATTAACTCCACCTCAATGATGCAACATTTTAAATAAAATGAAATGGCCGCTTGCCATCTTTCATATATGAAAGTAATTTACCTGATTTTATTTAGCATTCTATCGGAAGTCCTACTGTTTCCTACACCAATCCACCGTGTACGTATTTATTATTCAAATAATATAAAAGTTATCAAAGCGAATAACCGAATAAGAATAAATTAAATCAAGGTAAATAGATATTCAAGTCTNTGAAACACTAACAAGATATGATGAGTTAACTGCACTGCATTACACGCAAACTACTTTTCATAAATACCATTCATTCCAAATGTTATCAAAATTAATTATTCGTGTATTTACATGCTTACATTTAATTATTATTTTTGCACTAAAAAATTCATTTCAGTTTAATCAATGAGTACAAAAATTTGGACTTGACTTTCCTCTACCAACATTAATACAGGCTGTCAGCTTTCTACGCTTTTTGTAAGAATTTATTCTACTGGTACCTAAATTTATGTTTTAATGTATTATTTTTTTATTCATTTGAACTTACACCACTACGTATAAATGATTTAAAAGTTCATATGCAACGCCACTTTGTATCAGTACTTCGTGGTGAAACTTTCAAAATGTTAAAAAAAAATTACCCAAAATTATGAAAGTTTTGGTTTATAAATGTCTACCACTCCATTAAAGCTTTTGCAAAAGAAGTAGTATTTGGCAGGCCTGGTTAAATTTCATATAAAATGTCATTGTTAAAGGTAGAATAAATCCACTTGGAGCTAAAAAAATTCGTTTATTTATTTATTTTAACTTTTTAGTTTATTATTTAGTTTAATTACATAATAATGTTAAAATCATGGCTCAAATTGATTAATATTTTGCCATGATTTTTTAAATTCAATCGAACGCTAACTCTTAAATTTCTCGACATATGAAAAAATGGACAATAAATGCAATTTAATTTTTCATAACAAAGTTAAGAGATATACTTACCGCTGGACCGGTTTCACCTTTCGGACCTCCTGGACCCTATTTGAAGAAAAGAGATTATTATTTATAAAAAATATTCATTTTAAAAATCTCGTTAACTTCATGAAACGCGATTCTGAAATCACTTTGCACTGTTGCATATTGAAAATTATTATAATTTTTTTTTTAGTATTATTAACGCAGTATTTATAGAAAATTGGAAAAATGAAGTTGAGAATTAAAAAATTAAGTCTAACGACTGCTTTCAAAAATAAAACATTTCACTTTGATGAAAAAACATTTTATAAAAGTAGTGGTAGGGCATTTAAGGTTTAACTAAGTCGATATATTTTACAGCTTTCATTTTAAAATGTTGCAATTACTTAATTTAAAATCAAAATATAAATATTTAATTTACAGTGGTGAATACAAATAAAATTAAAATTTAAATCACTATTTATCATCTGTTAGAAATATGTTCATAAGAACCGTGGTTATTATTGATTAAACCAATTTTGTGTTAAAATGAAAGAAATAAGTTCATGGAAACATTGGTCTTTATTGGTTTAACCCAGTGGTCGGCAAAGTGCGGCTCCAGAGCCGAATGTGGCTCTTTGGCTCCTTGAGTGCGGCTCTGGCGCAAATATCCACGGAAGGCGCAAAAATATTTTCATTTAAAAAAGTAAGAAAAAAACTACATCTTATTTTGATAAATTAAAATTCTTCTATAAATCGGGAACATGTATACTTTTTTGTTTAAGTTACAAGATTGATAGGTAATTAAAATTTTATATTGTTGTAAAAATACGTAACGAACATCGAGTTTAATTTTATTAGTTTTCATAAACGTAAGCACAAATCATGTACAAGCTACCGGCTAAGTCTCATCTAAATCAGCTTAATCGTAAACTACGAGAGAAAGGAAACTTAATTTTTTCGATGTTAGAAGAAGTAATAACATTCGAAAACAAATTATCCATTTTTGCCTTGGATTTTGAAAGGGAAACATTGTTTCACTTTCCGAGCCTGCTGAAGCATCGCCAAGAAAATAATTCCTCTATTGATAAACACCATTTTAAAACAATAATTTTAAATACGAGGGAAGCATTTCTCAGCAGGTTTCAGGAATTTAAAAACAGCAGAGCAACTTTAGCATTTGTCAAAAATCCTCTTAATGCTACGATGACCGAGTTGAAGTTTTCTCCGTTTGAAATTGACATTGGTAGCTTTGAAATACAATTGCTGGATTTAAAAAACAAGGAGATATGGTGCTCTAAATTCGAACGTCTTTGTGTTGAATTGGAAATATAGGAGAAGGAAAAATTTGATCTCAGTGCACAACACAAGTGGTCTGCTTTGAATGACCTGGAGAAGGAAGACATGATCATTTTCAACACTTGGAATAGTATTTCTGACTCTTACGATCAGCTGAAAAAGCTCGCTTTTGCTGTTCTTTCTCTTTTCGGTTCTACGTATATATACGAACAATATTTTTCACGCATGAGCATTATCAAGAGTAAACTGAGAAGTTGTCTTATTGATGAGAACTTGGANTGTTCATAAGAACCGTGGTTATTATTGATTAAACCAATTTTGTGTTAAAATGAAAGAAACAAGTTCATGGGAACATTGGTCTTTATTGGTTTAACCGATTCAGTGTTACAATGATAGAAGTCAGTTCATGGCAACACTGGCCCTTATGGTTTTAACCAATTCAGGACTGCACTGTTTTTATTTTATTTTATAACTGTCGTTGAGAACAGCCGACCCAATTTTTGGGGTTTACGATTACTAATCTTCAACTCCGTAACCTTGCAATTTTGAACCCAATCCAGAGAACTCCTGGATCAAGTATTGGGAGAAATTTGCCTTCTTGAAAGACTTTATGATGGAACTAACCCTCATTTAAGTTACACAGAGAAGAAAATCTCCCACGGTTAGCCTGACTGAAAGGCGACTCTAACCCATGATCCGTCTTCCACTGAGGATATTTTACGTCAACACTGTGGTCGGGGCAAAGCCGGATGCGGTAATAATATCGACCAGCCATCGCTGGGATTCAAACACGGTTCACCTCATTGGAAGGTGATCGCTCTAATATCCCCTGAGCCATCACAGCTCTAGGATTGCACTATTAGTTCATGGGAACACTGGCTCTTATTCGCTTACCGATTCAATGTTGTCCCCTCTCTTAAGGTCGTGTTGAAGATCCCCCGACATCAGTGAGGTGGGCGGGCTCGCTGTCGCTAAAATGCGGGGCTGATTAACGCCCTGGCTCGGACTCGCGGCTGTGGCATAGCCGGAGCGTGGCCTTCGCGAACCTCTTAATGGGTTAACACGTTCACGCCGGGGTGACCCACCGGTGGGTCACGCTAGATTTTCACATCTTAGCGGCGCACCGGAGTAAAAACTGGTAACAAATAAATTTCCTTTTTTAGTTTTTTTCCGGAAATAATAAAAAATCCATAACTACCAATTGTTTTTAACGGATGCAATTTTTATATTGAATTGCTTCTTCAGAGATGCCAACTGCTCCAGACACGCCAAAATAATTAAAAAAATGGTAAATAACTAAGAAGTAAATTTTGAAAATAGTTGACTATTTTTGCTTGCTTTTAAGAAGGCGTAGCATGACGTTAGTACTACAAAGTGGTGAATTATGTAAGCCTACGAGTTATTTAGAAATAGTGGTGGATGAAAATCTACTTAATTGAATTTATTAAACCAAGAATCACAATTGATAAACTACCACTTTAAAATACATATTTGCTGTCCGGAGCAAGTTGGCATCTCTGCTTCTTCGCCGTGATGAATTTCCTTACAGTGAATTTTTATTGTTGAGAATAGATTAACTCCTCCCGAATATTATCTAATATTGCAATAGTTCTTCTAACAGTATTTTCACTTTTCCCGGCGTGAACGTGTTAAGGGTCCTAGGGTACCAGGTAGGCATAAGGAGGATTGTCCCCTCTCTTAGAACTTACGAAGGAACTTTTCTGGAATTTCCCCTCTTCCAAAGATGCGCCTTCAGTGAAGCTCACGAGTAGCGAGAATGACCGGCCGAGGTGGATTTAGTCTAGTATTTGTGACCGGGTATAGTTTNAATACTATTAACTTTATCATACAACTCTACTCAAGGGGATCTCCCCAATCCAAAGATGATTTTCCCTTCAAAACTAAAGATTTACTCCTTAAGGACTTGACTTGTTGTTACAACATACTACAACTTCAAAGATATATAGGACCTCCCAGAATACAACAAAACAGTATCGATGAATCGGTTAGTGGCGATAAACGCCGAGATAACCCCAATATCCAGCATTCGTGATGAATTTCCTTACAGTGAATTTTTATTGTTGTGAATAGATTAACTCCTCCCGAATATTATCTAATATTGAGATAGTTCTTCTAACAGTATTTTCTCTTTTCCTGGCGTGAACGTGTTAAGGGTACCAGGTAGGCATAAGGAGGATTGTCCCCTCTCTTAAAGCTTAAGAAGGAACTTTTCTGGAATTTCCCCTCTTCCAAAAATGCGCCTTCAGTGAAGCTCACGAGTAGCGAGAATGACCGGTGGTTTTAATCTAGTATTTGTGACCGGGTATAGTTTGGTCGTGACGCTGTATTGGTTAAAGCAGGTGTCGGTAAACCGGCATGCTGTACGCGTATTTTGAGAGCCGAGATCACTCGGTAAATTATAGCTATACTGCTGTCCCATGTCTTTTGGATCCATTTAATTATTGGTATTTCCTTGAATCTCCTGTCAAATAGAGATACCCTGAATAAAGAAGGTTTCTATATATTGTTCAATATTTAATCTGGTATTATGCAAAGAATGATGTGAACAGAGAGATAACTTAAGGCTACTAAAATATTTAAACTATCTCATCTAAATATAAGCTTTATACTTATTTACCTGAGCACCTTTTGGACCAGAAGGACCTTCCAAACCCTGAAACAAATATTCTTAGTAAACAAATTTAAGTTCAAAAGGAAGTAACAACAGAGAAATAGTAAATATTTATTATCAAAAAAAGAGCAAAAAAATTAAAGATTATTTTATTTTTATTTTTTAAAGGTTAAAAATAAAATAGAGTTAGGCAGAAATTATGAATATGTATTTAAAATTTTATGGCCTTTATCCAAAGATGTAATATGATTCAAACACTTTTAAAGATAGTGTAATAAAATAAATTATTTTTATATTGCTTAATATATTTTACTTAAATAAAATAGTACCTTAATCAAATCAAACATAAAAATTACACATTTTTAATGTAGAATTTACTAAATGCAAATAAAGGTTTTAAAAATATTCAATAAAAACAAAATATTTAGACAAAAAGAATAAACTTCTTCTATAAAAATTTTTGTAAGCAATTTTATGTTTGAAAAATAATGTGAATAAATTTTTCATTCATTATTCACAGAAAAGTGCATATATTTAGTACGAGTATTTCTTTGAATGGAAAAAATTACAAAACAGCATAAATGACAAATACTTTGATGCATCGATTTAGCAGCAACAAGAAAGTCATTTGAAATGTAATTAAAAAATATTTTAAAACAATAATAAATAGTAAAATATTTTTAAAAAATAATTACTGGCTGTCCTGGTGGGCCATCATTTCCTTTCATTCCCTCCTGTCCTAGTGGTCCCTTTAACAATAAGTTGCATTTTATTGAAATAATAAAAGAATAATGCAAGTAAGTAAAAATGATATTAAGTAGTAGTCTATACTTACAGTGTCTCCTTTCATTCCTGGAGGTCCTTGTATTCCCCTTTCTCCTTTTTCTCCTTTTTCCCCCGGTGCTCCCTTCATACCTGCTCTACCAATCACTCCCCTATGTCCCTAAAAAAGGAAAAGAAATTCCAGACGCATTCATCTTTCAAACAAGGATAGATACTTTTAATGTCGTCATGAATAGGTTCCTATTCATTACGTGGAAATAGAATAAAAACCCGATATAACAAAATATCACAATAACTGACGAAATCGTCTATAGAATGATTTTGTCGTTATAAACAAATGCACATATAATAATATGCGTTACAAGCAAATGCGTTATAAACAAATGCACATAAAATAGCAATAAAAAGACTAAACAACGATTTACCTTTATCCTTTTTAACCAACTATTTTAATTTAAATTACTTGACTCGACTTGACTTGAAATTAGAACTAGGCACCTGGGCCGCGAACATCCCCCTATTATCTCCATCATGATGGGATCATTTTGCATGCATTCATTGGGAGTAAGCAGTCATTGTGGTAGTTTTCAAATTTAAATTGTAAATCTAGAATAGACTGCTTATGCTTATAGATTGTAAACAGAACTGGTAGTTTTTACAAGATGCAAGAAATGAATGAATGAAAATGAATTGAAGTGCAATTGCAATTGACCAGGGCCCGACTTAGCCTAATTACGGCCTGTTGCAAAAACTTCTTTGGGGACCCCTCTCTGTTTCACTACTTCAGTAATGAAAATTTGAACTTTATGGAGGTATTTAAATTTTTCACTTCATTATACATATATAACAAGAAAATTGAATAGAACCTAAAATAGCTGTAAGGCATCCCCTCCCCTCCAATGATCAGACGAAATATCGTTCTGTCCATTTTATTGACTTTTTGACAATTCTATGTCCATCATGCCAAATGCAGTTTTCTGATTGCCAACTTTGACATCTAGCAGCGAAAAATTCATATCCTTGCCGACATTAGGACTGAATTCAGCTAAATTTTTGCAATTACTATGTCTCACTTAGGCCTATCAGAAGCCTGCTGTATCTTCGTAAACATATCGCATTTTGTGATAGGTTAAAATAAAGGCTTTTGATTGGCCAAATTTGACCATCGTAATTGCGAAAAATTTTTCTGAATTCCGCACTAAAAAGCCGAGAATTTAAGAAGCATAATTTTTGTATTTTGTACTTTGAATAATTGTAAGCATGAAGGTGAAATGATATTTGTTTTGCCTTTTTTGCACTGATTCCAAAAATAAACAAAAAATATAATTTCCTCTTGAACTTTCTCGTCATTTAAACAATAGAAAAATACATTTCCTCCAAAAGAAATTTGTTGCAATAGCGGAATATTTGTAAAATTTTGCAAGCTACTTTCTTTTCCATCTTTATTATTAGCATATTGACGGTAACAGAGAAACAGATAAATTTGTCGTAATAGCGAACTTCTCATAATATACCGTATTCCTTATATCGGGGTTCTTCTGTAATTTAAAAATTACGCGACAAGTATGCAGGAATTTTTCAAACTAAAGCAAAAGGGTTGTGGATGACTGGAAGCAACTAAAATTGATAAAAAGGGAACTTAATTTGATATTAATATAATTCAAAAATTTCTAATGCCAAATATTTAAGGATCACCCCAACTAATACACTTAATTACAATTTTCATATAAACAACATCATAACCTAGCTCTTAGATCTTTCAAAAGACTCAGAGAAGGCTCTGAACGCCCAAAATTTTATTCATACTATGTGTATTACGCCAATTCTCAGCTATGCCTCCCCTTCATGGGGCGTTTTGACCAAAACGCAAATAAGACCATTACAAATTATCGATCAGAAAGTGCTTTTAAGAATAACCGGAGCCACCGGATTCGTAGGACATAAAATTATCTATAAAGCCTCCTGTTCCTACTATGCAATCAGTTTTCTTACAGATGTTTATCCACACATGATGAATAGGAAAAGGGCCAATTTTGGTATCAGATGCCCAGTTATACATATCAGACCAGTATACAAAAGTGTATCACTCGTTTTGAAAATCAAATAAGCTCGCTCCTAAGCTATCTCGGTCTTATTAATTAGAAACTAACCGCTTAAAAATTCCTAAAATTCTTCTATAATAATTAAATTTCAGAGGTTATTTTCAAATCTTACTATTCTTCCATTTTTCTAAACTTTGTTTGCTTAAATATGCATGATGCATCATTTTCAAGTATGACTTACTTTTAAACCACGTTTTCCTCTTTCACCTTTGGCACCTTTGTCGCCTTGAGAACCCTGTAATATTAAATTGAACATAATACATTAAAATTCATCTTCATAAAAATACTTACAATATTAAAAAATACTTGCACTATTAAAAAATAAATAAATAATCAATTACAAATAATCATTCCCAGCTGTTACTCTGACCTATACACTTAGACGATCAGGCAAAAGATAAATAAGTGTGTATAGTAGAATATATTTATAAATATTGATTGGTTTATTGATGCAACATACATTTGCAGGCTTGTGTGCTCAATTAAGGCTTATAAACCTTTGTCAAGTAGAAGAACAGATAGCACAATAGAGAAGGACATCACAAAGGTTACGGCGGGATTCGAACCCGCCACCTCCACGCTTAACAGAACGTTTGGCGGGCGATCCCTAAATATTGATATTCATTACAGTAACATTATATCCGTTTAAAAAAATAATGAATTTAAAAAAATATTCAAAAGAAATCGAAAGATGAATAATTATAAAACCCTACTAAGAAAATATTACATTTAAAATATCTTTTTGCTTACGGCTGGTGTTACACGTGATGGTACAACATGGAACATCGTAGAGAAAGAGTTCAATTAAAGAGTAAGCGTAAAAAAAATCCATAGTTAACATTTTTTACAAAAAAAAGTTTTATTTTTTTTAAATGTATTTTAATTGTTTCTTTAATATGTCTTGCTCGCTTGTTCTTCAGTATATTCCATATTTGTTTAGTGTGAATATAAAATTAATGTTTTACTGTGTGTACCACAAATACTGTTTCATTTTCCTTTCTTCCTCTTGGAAAGTTTCAGAAGGATAGTCTTAAGAAACTTCGAACAAGTTTTAAAAGAAGAGATTTTTTGTTGTTCCATTTATTTCTTGCTTATTTCTGCCCTATCAGACATAGACAATAATTTTATTTTTCTTAACATGGCTGAAAGCCCTTATATAGCAAGACGAAAAAGAACAAAAACTGGTATAAAAAAAACAGCAATTAATTCTAGCATTTTTTTCGAGAAAAATAAAGCATCAATATTTCTTTTATCATTATTTTAACATTTTCTATTACAATGTTCTGAGAGATGTATTTAAACTCTATGGTCTTTATAAAGCGGTAGCTTATTTATTTATTTACTTTATTTTTCCAATAAGAGTGATGTTAAACTGAACACACTGCACCAGGCACGGTTCAAATTGGCCTATTAAGAAACATATATATAACTTCTTAAAATATAAAGAAAAATGACTTACAATATTTCCTTGTTGTCCAGGAGGACCAGCTTGACCAGGTGGTCCCACATCTCCCTGAAAGAAACAACGAAAATTGAAAGGAATCGAAAATGATAATTCAAAAGTAAAGGAAATTAAAACCTTTTAAGATTATTGAAATTTTAGATAGTTTCAATTTTTATACTGTCACTTTTATAGTAAGTTTTTTATAGTTTAAATAATTAAGTATTATACAGTTTATGTAGATAATATATATTTTATTACTAAGATATTATAATTTTTGCTTCATAAATTATTTCGCGAAATTTGCTTTATCTTGCTGCCCAAACACTTCCTCGTTGACAAAACTATCATTAAATAAATTAATTCTTACCGCTGGTCCAGGTGATCCTCTTAAACCAGAAGGTCCTGGCAGTCCAGGGTTACCCTAGATAGTAAAAATAAAGTATGGTTAATTATTTTTAAATTTTGTCACGATAATCTATTTAGACACAGTTTAATAAAAAATATTTTATGCTGAATCTACATACTGGAGCACCAACGGGTCCCTGGTCTCCTGGTGGTCCAACTGGCCCTTTGTCTCCTTTTTCCCCTGTGAGTCCAATGTCTCCTTGTTTGCCGGCAGGTCCTGCTGGGCCCTGAAAATTAATTAACCTTAATACCTAGTATTGACTTTATTGTAACTTTTGTCATAATATTTTATCATCAAAGCAAATAACTTCGTTATGGAGTAGCTGTGAGCTTTCACTCTCTTTGCTAAATATATTAGAGTTTGTAGATATTTCCCAACTTTGTTTATAAATCAAAATGTTTGTTTCACTCTGAGCTACTAATTTATCTGCTGATCATGTTAAGAAAATAATAGCTAAAGCCTCTGGAATATACAATAAATTAAAATGTCTACTAGGTCCCTACTCCAAGATGTCACTTAAAAACAAACGAGCCATATATCTCGCATATTCTTCTTCTTCTTCTCATTGTCACGACAGCCCAGAATGGGCCTTGACCTTCTCAATAAGCCTATACCAAGACATTCTTCCCTTAGCCAAGGTTCTCCAGTTTATTATCTGTAAAACTTGTAGGTCCTTTTCAAGGTAGTCTAAAAATCTTAGGTTTGGTCGTCCTCTCTTTCTTGTACCTGTTGGCCTGACACAGAAAACTTTTTTGGCTGTCCTGCTATCCTCCATTCTTATAATGTGGCCTGCCCACTTAATTCTTTGAATTTTGATAAATTTAATGACATCAGGTTCCCTTATATGCTCTGATATATCAAATATATCAAACCTTTAATTACTTATGCATCCCCTGCCTGGTGCAATTACGGTAATGTAAATGCTAAACAATTTCCAAAATGTCTTCCAAAATAAATTACTAAGAAAAATGTGTGGAGGTCCCATATTTTATTCGAAACAAAGATATACATAGAGATTTTAAATTAAGATCCTCACTGATACTTTAATGACGATTAACACACGAATTTTAAGGGGAAAAAAACCCCACAAAAATGCGCAGCCGCAAACTACAAAAATATTTTTAAAGCAGAAATACTAATTGAAGATTCCAAAATCAAATCCCGCTTATAACTAACGATGCTATTTTATCAGATAAATTCAATGAATTCTTCACTATTTTTTATATTTACTTATGATTTAATATACTTATACTTTAAAAGACTTAAAATACTTATAATTATATACAATATATTTAATACAATGTACAATAAATTTGAAACATTTATAATTAATACTTATAATTAACTTATAATTTAAAATACTTATAATTTAATTTATAAATTTAAATTATAATACTGCCAGCGATTGACGCTGTAGTCTTTTCTCTGTTTGTAACTCTGATTCAGCCAATGGCGTTGCAATTGCAGCAAAAAGTTAAAAATTATTTTTACTTTTTTCTATATCATGATTGTATTACCCTTATTTTTCTTTTTGTTTTCAAAACTCAAGATGAAAACTACTTCACGACTTCGAAAAGAAATAAAAAGCCTTTTCGAGTCCTATGAGCCTTGAGCAATAATGTGACTCAGTTCTCTGGCAAATAATCGGAGATTTTTCCAAAATATTCAGAATAGGGGGACTGAGGTGTTGCTGAAACGCCATATTTGGCTGAGCTGCGGTAAAAATGTATATAAATAGCGTACAAAATTCCTAGAGTTAAAGGAAGTAGCAGATTTAAACTACTTACCGGTTTGCCAGGTGCACCAGCCACTCCCATTTTACCAGGCTCTCCAGGTGGACCCTTAAAAAACACAGACAGACATAAAACTTTGTACCCAATGAAATTTTAGCATTAAATATATTTAATAAAATTGTATTCTTACAATGGGTCCTGGGTCACCCGGATTTCCATCGCTTCCATCTTTTCCAGTAGAACCCTACAAATTGTGAGAGAAAAAATGGGATTAACACCCGAAAAGTTCCTTATTACTTTCTTTTTAAAAAAAATATTAGTTTTCTTTCGTTGCAGCATTTTATATTGCACAAAATATGTCTTTTTAAAAATAATGGTGCGAAGTTTCAAAAATTTTTACTTTAATGCTTACGATGTTTGTTTTTGTAACTATAACTTTATCGTTTAGAAATTTGTCTTAGATTTAGACTGAGTTGGTTTATGGCATGGGTGAAGATGAGAAAGAAAAAGAGGAGAAGCTGGTAGCAAAACCATTTCAGTTTAAACTAAATTTCGTGAGGAGCAAATCTATCCGTTTCTTCAAAGTAATCAACAATATCATACATACCAGCCAACTTTCACGCATGCTGCGTAAAATTTTATTTTTACATTTAAAGTGGTAGTAAAATGTATGCTTGATATTTATTCTTTGCATTTATAAATTTAATTCAAAATGATTTTGACTGACAGTACATTTAAATAAATTCTACATATATATAAATGCATAAAATTTATATGATGGGTTAAAACTTGCTCCAAATAAAAAATTAATCTTCCATAAAGGCAATTTATTTTTAATCTTAGTGCCACTGGGATGATTCATCTGCTGAGAGATTATAAGTTGGCAAGTATGCATATATGATTTATGAACTTACTTAATGCCACACCTCCTCTCCTTTTTTTTATTTCCAAAGTTTGGACACCTTAGCGCTAATTTTAATTTTGCGTATTTCACCATATCTCGAGAACTTTTTTTCAATGCAGAAAATAAATGTTTGTAAATATTTATTAATTTTTACTATTTCATTAACTGTTCCTTTAAACGAAATTTTTTTTAACTGTAAGGTATAAAACTTTTTGCATCATTTTAAAGTATATAATTTTACATGACAAATTACAAAAGAGCGAAATCGGTTGGATAGTTTTTGAGAAATCGAATTTAAATTTATAACTTATTTCAAATTCGATTTCTCAGGAACTATTCGACCGATTTCTGAGTAATTGTTCTCTCACATTTTGTATTTTGCCATGTAAAAATGTGCCGCTGCTTGGGCGTATTGGTGTAGTCTTTTTTTCGCTAAAAGCAGTTTCTATGAAGGATTAAAACTGGATGTTTATGCGGAATCCTACCAATCTATCTCGGTTATTCTATCCTTTACTTAACATGAAATCCATTATTAAATTTCTAGGCAAATAAATAAATAAATTGAATACATAAATAATATAAATATATAAATTAAGCTATTATTCGTACCTTAGGTCCAACAGTTCCAGGTTCTCCTGCGGGTCCAGGAAATCCAGGATTTCCCTAAAAATAAAACTTCTTAAAATAAATTCATACTAATAAAATCACAAGAATAATGTAGGAAACGAATAATTTAAAAATAATTGTAATAAAATGTAAACAATAAGATACTATAGATATTAAGTTACTAACAGCGAATATATTTAAGGATAACCATTAAATTATTTAAATATGGGCATGACATTGTGTTAAAACAAAATAAAAAGACATACGTATGGTTTTAAGATGATAACTAACAAAAAATTCATTTATTCTTAAAATATATAGATGGGGGAAAGAAGATACCACTGAAGAAGTTTACCTACAGGCAAACCTTTTGGACCTGCAGGTCCATGTGGACCTCTTGGTCCTGGCGGTCCTTGTAATCCCATTTTTCCATCTTCACCTTTAGGTCCTGGTGGTCCTCTAGGTCCCTGGAAAAAAACAAATCAAGTATTTATTAAATAAAAGTTAGCAATCAATTTTCAATTGGTTATTAGCTATTTAAATATAATTCGAAAAATTAAAAATTGAGGCAAGAAATTTTATTCTCACGTGTTCCCCATCTTTCCCTGGTGGTCCTGGTATTCCTTGGAGACCATCTTCACCTTTTGGTCCCTGTTTTCCTTCAGGTCCTGGTGGACCAGCAATGCCTTCACCTCCCTAGGAGAAAATATAACATCTTTAAGCAGTGTACTAGTTATAGTGTTTAAAAATATCGTTCCAATTATATGAACAGGATTCTAAGCTTATTAATCTTAAAATTTTCCTGTTGAAATTATAATAAAATTTATTAAGAAGAGCACGTGTCTAAATACAGATGAATATCCATTAAATAAAATATATTGTAATTTCCATATACTAAAAGATATCATAATATATATAATATCTATTAAATACTTGTTATGGTGAGCCTATTTAACTTTATATGTTGCTTAAATTAAAAATTTTGTTTAATCAAATTCATATCATTCAAATATTTTTGAAGCAAACTGAAACTTTATGAATAAAACACATTATGACATAAAGAGAAATATGATCATTTTCCCTCTCTAAGGTCATGATAAGTATAGTTACCTTTAATTTTAAAAGTAAACAATTTCACCTTTTCTTTAATTTTGGTTTCCATTTATAATTAACTTCATGCCTGACGACGTTTGAATAAATTTATAAATTTAATTTACGTTGATTTAATTTATAAATAAAAGTCAGTAAGTTTCATGCTTTTTTCATGCTCCTAATGGCCCGTGGTAAACATACTTACTACAAAAAAATGGCGTTAAAATTTATCTAATAATTTATTGAATTAAAAAAAATTATCTAATGGGCTAAATGAGTTAATTATCATTTACTAGAAATAAATAAAATAATATAGAGTTAACAAGGGTTTAAAAGCCGTAATTTGTAATAAACAAAAGAGCCCGCATTTAAATGTGCCACAATAAATAAATTATAGTGGTTTTACGTAAGTCAACAAGCAAAAAAATAAGCACACAGAAGAAATTGTCTGATTTCTAAAAATTTTGTTATATTTATAAAATTTACTAAACAAACAAAATAGTATTTTGTACTCACTTTTGAACCTGGTGGTCCTGGTTCTCCTGGTTGTCCAGCTGGTCCGGGTGGTCCTACTTTTCCATGGTCACCACGATCTCCTTTTGGACCTCTAGGTCCGGGCAATCCCTAATTTTCAAGTGCGATAATTTAATAAATGTGGTACACACATTGGTGTAAATAATTCAAAATCTATTTATTACAGCGTCAGGTAAACTAACGCAATTAATTAACAATATATTGTTCTTATAAATAGGTCAAACTGCAGATAACTTTGCTCTGTTTATAAATAGATCAAAGCGTTAAGCAAACGTTTGATGAAATTTATTATTTCGTCATCATCATCACAAAGTATTTTTATCTGGACTGAGGCCGTTTACAGCTTTTTTCCCGTTAAATTTAATTTCTCCACTTAATAAATTAATAATATAATAAATTTAAATATAAACGTAAACCATTACTGATAAAAATTATTAATATTTGCGTATTAACTGGCTTAATAGAGTTGTTTCACTGAAACAGTGTTAGTCCATTCATAACAGGATACAAAGGTATAAAAAGTGCCAGTAAACAATGGATATACTAAATGTGTGGTATAATAAAAACTTTAATTTTGAAAATCACAGTTTCCGGCAAACAGTTACCACATCAGAAAAACTCACCAAAAGAATGGTTTAAATATCGTTTATTTTGGATTTTAACCCTTTCCACTCGAGAGGTGACAGTATGTCACCATTGTAGCCTGTAAATTATCCTCTACTCTAATTGTGAAATTTTTTTTCTTCTTAATGTTTAGTTACCACTTCATTCAGTGAACTCCGGGTATTATAAGGTAAGTTTCTAAAAACTCTTTCAAAATGTTAGTGGTTGCGTCTATTTTTTTAACTGTGAAAAACAGCGAGTGCAAAGGTTTAACCGGTTAACGTCCAGCGTCATATATTTAGCACAGTTCCCTTTTTCAAAGACATTCATTGTGGTGGGAAACTTTTTTTCAGCATTTTCATTTATCTGGTTGAATTAAAAGATTCTCAGACACCACAATGATTTAGTTATTTCTGATTAGATCTAGGATTATAAGGAACAAGTACTTTTTGATGTATCAGACTTTTTGAATGCCATAACAGTGGAAAAACCTATTAATTTCGATAATATATTAAACCACTTTTTCCATAAAACCACTTTTTGTATCATTTCCATTCATAAATTCGGGACAAAACGGGTAAATACCAGAATTATGGAGGTATTTTTATCAGAAATGTTATTACTGTACAAACAATAATTTAACTGAAAATATTTTCTCCGTGCGTCATGGTTTCTGCCCGCAAAATGTGCCAGTTCTTGGCATCGTTTTCTTGTGGCTCTGTGATTTCATTTTATAGGTAGGTTTAAGAAGTTCGCGCTATTTTAGTTCTCTTACACTGTCGAAAAGAAGTTCCTTTTTGGGGGGGATGAAATAACAGTACCGTTATAATCAGACTAGTGGAAAGAGCATTTACTCGAGCTATTCATGAGTTGGAAAAAAAATAAGAAAAAGAAAGAGTGCTGTATTTTGTGCGAAGAGCCATCACCTCCTACATCAAGAAGCCTCCACACGGTCTTTTATAAGTAGTCCGCGCAGACTGTTTAAAATGTGAACTAGTTTTGCGCAAAAACCCAAAACCTTTTATAAAAGTAATTGAGAGAAATTTATCTTATATATTTGAGAATTGAATCTGTAGTGGTTGACAAATGAGTAAGGCAAACCAATAATATTCATAAATAAAATAAATTTTTAATCATGTATTTGCTACCACTTTCTTATTTAAACTATATTCTGTATTAAATGATTCGTTCGGTAAGTGGATATCCTTCACAGTGGTCAGATCGGACTACCTGTAAAGAACCGTGTGGAGGCTTTCAGTTATAACCCTTTCGTTACAAGAGCCACATTTAACTGGCATCCAAGCGATGCCTTGTTTGTACCATCGCCGTAATTAACCAACCAAGTGGAGCAGGAAGTGAGTTATTCTTTCTAAATATGTGTTTAGGCATAGACTTTCTATTTATAGACGTTTGGTTCTCGTAGGTTGTCGCATTGTCCAACAATGGTATGAGATTGGCTTTATTCAGTTGGAGGACATTGTAGGATCAAAAAACATTTACTTGTAATCCTGCTGGTCCGGAGGGTCCAGGAGGACCAGTGGGTCCGTCTTCTCCCTGTTCAGAAAATAAACAAACATTAGAAAATTATAGGATGCTTGGTTATACAATAATTTAACAAATAATGATATGCAACCTTCACAAATATGCTTTAAGGTATTTAACCTAAGCTTTATTTTTTATATCCGATTTGGTAGTTAATGATCGGAAAGTGTAACGTATTGATTGTAAAAACGTTTAAATCTACCTTTCGTTCAAGAGAAATAAACGAACCGTAACAATCATTTGCATTTTATTATTTATACATATAAAAGTATGGGTGGAAATATTTTGATATATTTAAATTAAAAGTAGCTTGATATAAATTCAAAAAAAAAATAATTCAAATTAAATTTAATTAAATTTTATTTATTGCAAATTCAAAAGAGAACAATTTTATAAAATCACATTATATTAAGATATATAAAATACATTTTAGCAAGAACAATCTTACTTTTGGACCTCTTGCCCCAATGGGCCCTGGCATTCCTCGTTCACCATCTGGTCCCTAGAAAAAAAAGGTCCTTAAGTTACTCAAAATATTTGTTCAAAATGAGTTTTTAATACAGAATAGGAAATTTAAAATCGACCCGTTATATGATGATTCATATTACGGGTTATATGAATGATTTCATATTAGTTTCACCATTCTAACTTTTATCACATTCAAAGTAAAATAAAAATTACTACATTTTAATACATAAGAGGAAATATACTACATCGTGAATGCTAAATTATCTGTAATAATTATCCACTGTTAAATTAAAATTCATTGAAAAATATTACTTGGTACTTTTTATAAAAATGTTTTAACATTTATTTAAATTATTATTCAGTTTTTATTTAAAGTTTTTTAATTACATTTTTTCATAACTTTTTTGTTTAAATAAAAGTTTAAAAGAAGCCAAAAAGATTGTAAAATATTTAAAATAATTATTATCTAAAACTACGTTAAGTACCATAAATACGCAAAAAAGTAGCATTACAATTGCTTTAAATGGCAGTATGGATAATAAATATAATAAATGACTCGACAATAATTGATAAAAAAGAAAAACTGGCCTCGAAAAATAATAGACAAAGCAAAAAGGAAAAAAAAAATGCTTGTTCGCTTTACTTGAAAATGAAGAAGAATACATTATCAGTAAATTATTGATGAATGCTACCGCTAGCTTATAAATTAAAACACGCAACATTAAAAGAAAATGATTTATGCATGTAAAAACTGGAGATTTGTGCATGTTGCCGCTTATAGAATTAAAGCCAATGAATATTAAAAATGATTTATGCGTGTTTCAACTAAAGGATTGGTACATGTTGCCTTTTGAAATATTAAAAAAAAAAAAAAAAAAAAAAATTATGGCAGGCACTGAATTTTCGTTCTTCACCTAGGAAGATGTCGGAAGTGTTGCTTATTTAAAGTTACACCTGTAAACTGAAGTCACTGAGGCTAGCAACATTACCCACGCCACAGATACTCGATTATAGGGTGGGTCACATTCACACATCACATAACAGAGAACATCGCACAGCGAGAAACATCCATACCCTAAGCGGGATTCGAACCCGCAACCATTGGCTTCACAGTCAGGCACGCTGACTGCTTGGTCATCCGGCTGGTGATATATATATTTAAAAAAAAAAACACGTACTAAAAATATTTGATGTATATTGCAAAAATTAGTTGTTACCAGCGTGCCTCTAGTTGTGCTTCAAGACAAAGAGAAAACCTGTAGATAATTAGACTTTACCGGAGTGATGACAACGTCTGAGAGGTTATTCTCCACTGAAGAACAACAAAGATCTATTATTTTATTTTATAACCGTCGTTGAACAGCCGACCCAATTTCATGGGTTTACGACTACTTACGTTCAACTCCGTAGCCTTGTAATTTTGAACCAATCCAGAAGACAAGGAAACTCCTGGATCAGTACCCCCAGAGGTATTGATTTGTTGTGGGAACATGGAGGACTTTGAGACTCGACAGATTTAACGTGCATCAGTCACCATTTACTACACGGGGAGTCTTCGGCCGGCGAGGATCGAACCCACGATCTCTTGGATATGGGCCCAGCGCCCTACCGACCAGGCTATTCCGGCCTAAGATCTATTATTTGAAGTTGATTAGATTCACACCTCATCGTGGTGCTCTAGTGAACACACTTGGGTAGCTAACGTGTACTGAAAGGGAGCCGGAAACCGCCCAGAGACTCACAGTTTTAAAATACATTTATCTCGTAAAAGAGCTTTCTTTTTTCTCAAAACATATCAGAAGTCTGGGGAGAGAAGCACCCTCGCTTATGGAGGCCGGAGATGAATTTGCTTGTAATAAGCATCAGTTGAAGCCAAAAATCATTCGATTGAGAGGAAGAATAGAAGTATAGAAAAAGCTTCCAAGCGACGAACACCGAAAAGAGAATGGTCACTAACAAAGAGAATATTTGCAGAACCAATTCTGGTAAAAGATGAGCAAACTGAGTACCCTCTAACAATAAAACCTAAATACGATAGGGTTACCTTGGATGAAACTTTGGGTGATGGTGTGAAGAAGGCCAAACTTAGGTTTCGGATCAAAAGAGTGAAAAAAAGTCATAAATAGAGGAATGCTCATTTAAGCAAAAAAACAAAAGAGAATTGGAGCGTCACCCAGGTCGGAATAAGTCAAGACCTAGGTGGCAAATTCACCTACCCTAGGCTGAAGCGAAAGAAGCCAAGCCTCATTCTTTATGATGTAGAAGATGAACTTGAAGGAGAAACTCTGAAGGAGAGTCTCAAAACATAGAATGAAGAAAGCTGAAGTAGATGTATTCGACTAGAGCAGGGGTGGGCAAACTTTTTTGGTCGAGGGCCAAAAATTGAGAAAAAAATTGTTTGGCGGGCCAAGTAAAAACCAATAAACCAATTTTAAAAAAACCAATATTTAAGTTTTAATTAAAGTATTCAGTGAGATGAATGAAACTTCGATTTCATTTTTATATGAGTAGTTCCTTATATGAGGTTCGAAGTTCGATGTGCTTACTTTAAGGAACGAGGCTAAATGCTTGTCTGTTAGTCTACTTCTAAAATGATTGNAAAGATGAGCAAACTGAGTACCCTCTAACAATAAAACCTAAATACGATAGGGCTACCTTGGATGAAACTTTGGGTGATGGTGTGAAGAAGGCCAAACTTAGGTTTCGGATCAAAAGAGTAAAAAAAAAGTCATAAATAGAGGAATGCTCATTTAAGCAAAAAACAAAAGAGAATTGGAGCGTCACCCAGGTCGGAATAAATCAAGACCTAGGTGGCAAATTCACCTAACCTAGGCTGAAGCGAAAGAAGCCAAGCCTCATTCTTTATGATGTAGAAGATGAACTTGAAGGAGAAACTCTGAAGGAGAGTCTCAAAACATAGAATGAAGAAAGCTGAAGTAGATGTATTCGACTAGAGGGTGGGAAACCATTGGGTGGTCACCATTTCGAAGTAACACTCCAGTTGTCGATTGGAAAAGTAAGGGAGTCTTTAAAAGTCCTTAGATTTTTCAAATGCTGCGTGTCATAAGGTCTTTGAATGTAAAATCACCGAAGCGTGCGCCAATTGTGGAAAAGAAGAACACTTGAGATCCAAGTGCAAACAATAGAGTGCTTGCAAAAAAAAAGAACTAAATGTACGGTACAAAATTGAAGACCAACCATTCATCTATGACCTACCAATGCATATCCATAGTGAGAGTTCAAAATCAACTCCCAACAAAGACAGCCTATGAGCTCAAGTTCTGTCTGATGCCTGAAACACTTGGGGACTTAATTGATGTTTCCAAGTGAAGTTTTATGCAATGACACTTTTTGTCTGCCTTTTTGATATTTTGATGTAAATTTTGTGTTAATTTGTTCTGGTGCATTTTTAAATAAATGAAGTGAGGTTCGCAACTCTTCCGGGCACAAAACCTTCAGTGGACCAGTGTGCGGCGGCCTGTCTCCCTGCTGTCATCTCGGACTTGTCTGCCGCGAGCAGCTGATCTTGCATTACGAAAATCAAAAGCTTGCAAAAACAGATAATTTAATAATTTATGCACATACAGGCTGCCACTGAAGACTTGATGCACGTTTGCTCTTAAAAAATCTCTAGGAGACGAATACTTAAAGATTTATGCAAACAAATATGCAGCATTAATAGAGTAATTTACTTACTTGTGGTCCTGGTTCTCCTCTAAGTCCTTGAGGGCCTGCAGATCCTATAGGACCCTTAAAAACAAAACAAAAAAAATAAAGTTTAAAACATACTTATATAATGCGACAAATTTAAATAAAAAAATAATACTTTTAGTTAGAATACTTACAATATCACCTTTAGCGCCTTTAGGTCCTCTTTGACCACCTGGTCCGATATCCCCCTATAAAATAATGAGAAATTAAAGATGAAATTGAATTTTTATAAATATTAATGAAAGAATTAGTTTTCTTAAAACTATTCTATTGTCGTAAATGATTGATAACCCGATTTGATTTATTCGTAAGATAAATATTAAAGATGGATTCAATTAAGATAAATGTTCTTAAATGCTCTTAATGTTCACAATGTCAATAAAATATATTTTAAGAATATTCTACAGTTTTCAATTAATTGGAAACAAGTTTGATTTGTTTGTAAATTAAATATCAAAGACAGGTTCGTTTAAAGTAAAAATAACGCCTAAACTTAATTGAAGTTTTAATAAATCCTCAAAAAAACATTAATGATTCCAAATTTAAAAATTTTTATAAGGAAGGATATTAATATAATTTTATTTCCTTCTTTCTCTTGATTTTTGACTATGAGAGAAATTGTTTAGCGATGACTGCAATTTCTGCATAAAAGCAAATGCTTCTTAAAAGTGAAGTATCTAAATTTTAAGTTCTTTTAAGAAAAATATTTATCCCCGGATTTACTGTTATTAAAAACTGATTTGCCTGACACAAATGTTGACAAATCGCTTTAAAAATCAAACGTATTATCTCTGATTTAATTTGCGGTGTTGATTAATATTCATTAGTGCTGTTAATAATTAATTGACATTATATTGTCTGATTAGTAATTGATTAATATTAGTTTGCATTATTAGTAATTAATTAATATTATTATTAGTAATTGATTGATATTAATTAGTTTTAATAGCAACTTATTGATATTAGTTAGTAATACATTAATTAGTGTTTTAGTTTATACACCTAGTTTATCTACTCACTTTGTCACCATCTTCCCCAGCAGGTCCAGCGGGCCCTGGTGGCCCCGGAAGTCCCTATATAGTATAAGAATAAGAATATGAAATATCTAAGAATTTTATTAGATGAACACCAATTTAGGGCATCTCTATGGAACACTTACACGATTTCCTGGCGTTCCGTCTCTTCCCATAAGTCCAGGAGCACCAGAATCACCCTAAAAATAAGAGCATGTTTTTAGAGCACTTTGAACATTTAAAGGGTAATCAAGTTAGAGCTATATATTTCCCTATCGTGATCTACATCAAAATAATCACCAAAACTAAAAAAAAAAGTAAAAAAATAAAGAAATCACTGGAATCTAAAGTTTATCTCCAAGGATCTAAAAAAAATCACAGAAAGGTACTTAATTGAAGGGTATAATTCGTATCAACCTCTACATGTTTTTTATTTATTTTTAAATTTGTAAATTTAAAATCCATTTGACACCTTGCGATTATAGTTGACGAATCAGATCACGACATCGAATATACGATATGCATAGATGTATTCTTAATTTGCAACAAAAAACAATACAAATTATCACTATAATTTTTTTTACTTAAGCGTGTAGTATTTTTTTAAAAAAAATGATTTCATGTAAACCAGAATTTCAGAGTTTATGTTTTTTTTTTTAAATTTAAATAAAAGTTAGTTTTGAAATTTCAATTTTCGACCACATTACTACATAAATTTGCATTCCATGAGATATTTCAGTTTTAACTTCATGAAGTTTTCTTCATTTCGTTTGAGTAAACCAATCGTTCAACATAAATTTAGAGAAAAAAAAACAATGTCTAATGGAGCTATATAAAATAGTTCTGGTGGTCAGTTTACTTCTGCATTTCTGAAGGTTGCGTATATACATTTTTCTCAATAAATTAAATCAGTATGTGATACGTTGCAACATATTGATGAAATCACGCGTCGTTCATATTAAAACCATCATATTCATGCAACAAAAATTTTTTTAAAGAATCAACGACCGTGCTTTTTGTAGCATTCTCCGTTATCAGTAACTGCACTGTCATTTTTGTTTTCACAAAAATACGTTCCGATTATTCATTAATAAGTTTTATTACTGTAAAGTTTTTTCAATAACAGCATTGAAGTTTTCTTTACACTTAATACCATAATTTGACTTGTTTAGAAAAACATTTAACAAAAAATGAACACTAAACGTATTTTGTATTCTGTGCGAAAAGTAGTTTGTAATTTTGCATTTTTAACAACTTTTGTCGTTATGCTACTATTTAGTAACTTAAGAGTGGGAAATACTGATTGATATTAAGCAAAAACGTCTATTTTGGCGAGAATTGCGGAAAAACCATGGTTTCTATAGCGTTTAAAAATATGTGGAAACAATTTAATCAATCTTTACATATTTTTATCCACTGCAATGGATTCTTTTAGCATTCAAACAAGGATTTATATATAAATGGCGAATGCAAACCGAGATTCTTTTTTTAAATCTTTTTTTGTTCAGCGTAGTCTATAGCTTATATTATAGGTGTACGGATTCACAATGTTCGGTGCTAAAAACTCTTTAACAGAATCTGATCAAACTATATAGGTTAGTTAACCTTTACAAAAGGGGGAAGCTTAGAAAAAAATTTCTCTCCATCATTCCAGCGAGTCAAGGTTGTATTTTTTTCCATTTATTTAACGTTTTATGCAATGCAGAAAAAAACCATACTGAATTAGATAAAACTTTGTAAACTCCTATTAAAATTTACAGGTTATTTAAGAAATAAAAACACCAATATTATGGTAAGATGTGAAGTTTTTACTCCTTCACTAAAAAAATAGCTTTTTGTGTTCTAAACAAAAATAAATAAAACACTGTGTTGCAAAATAAATGATTTTCTACAATTTGACAATGAAAAAAAGTATAATTCTACAATTTTTCAACTAAAACTTTTATTTTCAATTTCCTTTGTGTTGCACACAAAATTGGACATAATAGCCCTTGGCACTCCATGGGCTGTCCCTCCACTGAGTTGATTATATTAACCCAGTTACATAAGCGTTAGAAGTCATAGGATATAACAGATGATACAGTAGTTTAAGAATAAGATTTAAAATAACAGTTTAAAAACAGCCAGAAAAGTGCAGCTTACTTTATCTCCTTTAGGTCCTGATGGTCCAACAGATCCTGGTGGTCCGTCCCGCCCCTTCATCATAAATGAAGAAAAGAGAGTGATTAAACTAAATATTAAAATTAATATATTTATATATGCAACAAAATTTTTTTCCATAAAAACAGATTGCATGATTTCATGAAATAATTAAAACTGTATAACCTTGTCACCTGGTGGACCAGCGTCTCCCGGCAGACCCATAGCACCTTTTTCACCCTGAAATAATTAGAGAAATGGTTAGTGAAAATAGTGAAATAATCACCCCGAAATAATTCAAGATATTTGATTAAAACAGAATCCATGATTAAAAAATAAATACTCTATATTTTCTAACAAGATTTTTTTTGTAAGTTGTTCGGTCCAAAGATAACATTATGTTAATTCTTTTTACACATATCTGTTTCGAGAATGTTGTCTTTGAGATCGAATCTGAAACTACTTTTAATTAGAGCTCTTAGATCTAAACTACTAGAGCTCTTAGATCTAAACTACTAGAGCTCTTAGGATTTAACTATTAGAGCTCTTATGTCTAATCTCTAATAAAACTGTTGGAATTAATAGCTCTAATTTAGAGTAATGTTTTTAAATTAAAGTTTTATTTATTATTTACTAAATGATATAATTAGTTTCTGATAAAGCTTTTACGTCTAAACTACAGTAAAGTATCAGACCACAAATGATTTTTTATCCTTAGAGAAATTGGATCATAACTTTCAATCAGAGATTTTAAATCTATACTATATTTAGATATAAGAGTTCAAATATTTTGTTCCCAGAAGTAAAATTATTANTCATATATACATAAGTCATATATATATATATATATGTGTATATATATATATTTGTAACATAAAAAGCATCAACTAATCTTATCTTTCTATGTTATTCTTTTATCTAAATATTTTTCTTAATTCATTATTCTTAACGAAACGGTCTTCCTCACACTTTAATATTCACATTCTGTCTTTTAATCTAATATTCGTTCAAGTATGCATTAATTATCATTTTAACGTTCATCCCTCTAAGTAACGGTGAGAAAAAAGTTTCCCTGGACTTATTTAATAGACCAATTATAATTATCAAGTTTTCCCTTTTTCTTAAAATGAAAAATTTTCACGCTACAGTCTTATTAGAACGAGAGGTGGAAATAAGCAGATTTCAGGCATCAGGCTAAACGTAATTATTATTTATTGAGACAACGTTTAAATTTTTAATCGCTTTACAATATTAAAATTTATTATAACTAAAATGAAATAAAATTGATAATATTGATATAAAATTGCTCTTATGAGAATAAAATTGTTCTTATAAGAATTTTAAAAATATTATACAATGTACTTACTGGTGATCCTGGATTTCCAGGTCCACCAATGTCTCCTTTAGATCCTGGTGCCCCCTAAAAAGGAAAAGTAGAAACAATATAGCTTTAACATAACAGAGTTTTTTTTTCAGAAAGTCTGTTTAATTTTGTTTTTATTAATTTTTTAATAAATATAAAACTTTGTCAAACAGGCCAAAATGTTTTAGATCAATAAATTCAATACCAAAATTCAATTATTTCGAATCAATTTCAATAAATTCAACACAATTCAATAAGTTTAATAACAAAGTTCAATAAATTCAAATCAACTTAATAAGTTTAATAAATTCAAATCAATTCAATAAGTTTAATAAATTTAATAACAAAGTTTATTAAATTCAAATCAATTTGATAAGTTCAATAAATTCAAATTAATTAAATAAGTCCAATAAATTCTATAACAAAGTTAAATTAATTCAATAGAAGAGTTCAATAAATTCAAATCAATTCTATAACAAAGCTTAGATTATTGTTACAAAGAAATGCACAAAGAAAATGAAGGAATGAATAACAGTCTTGAGCAGTCTGGTTTTACTTGAAAATACTACACCAATAGATTTATTCTCTAATTAAGTATACCTAGTATTATACTCAATTAGAGGGTATTTAGGTGAAGATTAGAGTTTAGAACTGAAATGGTGTCCTCATTGCTTTTTGCTTTAGGTTTCATTAGTTTACTTAACACGTTCATGCCGGGGTGATCCACCGGTGGGTCATGCTAGATTGTCTCATCGGGCGGCTCACCGGAGTAAAAACTGATAACAAATAAATTTCAATTTTTTAGTTTTTTTCCGGAAATAATAAAAATCCATAACTACCAATTGTTTTTAACAGATGCAATTTTTATAATGAATTGCTTCTTCGCCGTGATAAATTTCCTTACAGTGAATTAATATTGTAGAGAATAGATTAACTCCTCCCGAATATTATCTAATATTGAAATAGTTCTTCTACCAGTATTTTTTCTTTTCCGTCCCGCTTTCAGGCGCAACAACAGGCTTGAACGTGTTAAAAAACGTAGCCTACTTGACAGACGTTGAACAGACTTGAAAAACGCTAGTCTACTTGGAAGTCGTAGTTTTGATAATTTTAAATTTAGTTCATTAATTTTAGTTTTGTGTCTCTTATTTTTTTTAGGTCGAAAAGTGGTCGAAAATTTATTTGGCGAAAAATTTTACTTGAAACAATCAGGAAACAATTGGGTACTTGCACTTTCAGAAGAAGAAGAACCGATATCCACACATGTGATCTATGACGTCAGTGCCAGCTGAACTTTGAGAAGCAAAATGGCGAATTAAAGTTAAGCTCAGTTTCTTCACATAAGTCATAAAATTAATTAAGGTGAAGTTGATTAAATATATCACACATCAAATTTGTTGAAATATAATTATTTCTCGTCTACGTCTTAACTTAGATTCATTATTTGCTTATGTATTTCATTGTAATCGTGATATATTTGTGTTTTGTGTACCTGGCCATTTTGATGCATAATTACTTGAGGACTCTGTGACCCGACAGATTTAATGTGCACCAGTCACCATTTATTACAAGGGGAGTCTTCGACCTGCTGGATTTGAACTCATGCAGTCCAGCTCCCTGCCAACCTGGATATCCCGGACATGAATTACTTTTATAACTATAATACAACCTATCAAGCCGTTATCAGGTAATCTCCCAATACTTGGTCCAGGAGTTCCCTTGTCATCTGGATTGGAACATTATTACAATTAAGGAAATTAACATTATGTAATTTATTCATTTTTCAGTGTCTAAAAAATGAAGATAATGCAATCAAACAATTAACAAATTATTTGATAGAATGAGTAAAAAACAATCTTTAGAACTTAACGATGCGTTAATGAGCACATTAACTAAGTAAAGTGTTGAACATTCTTGATTCCTCATCCTAGTTCATCTGCGGAATAGCTAGATAAGGTGCAGATTAATAGCTTTCAAATTAGAATTAAACAAGGTGACTTACAGCTGGTCCAGGATGTCCTCGATCTCCTGGAAAACCTGGTGGTCCAACAGCTCCAGCAGGTCCTTTTTCTCCTGGTGGTCCGGGAGGCCCCTGAAACACAATTCGTAACTAGTTAGTAGAAAAATTTAAAATTCTGTTTTAACAACTCTCTTATACTCTCAAAAACTTGATTGAATAAATGAGTTTCAAAATTGAATTAATGTCTTGAACTTCCTACTGAAAGAAATCATAAGAAGTGTTGATCGTCACATATTTACCAATCGTACTTTTGAGACAAAAATGTCATTTTTCGTTTGATAAATTTATAATTTAATGTTTTTATGATGTATTCGGTAAATATTTTACACAAAATCTGATATTTGCCAAACGTATTAAACACATTTATGAAAACAGAAAAAGTTGCATAATATTTAAGAAATCAACGGAGTAGTAAAGAAAAATAATAAAATTATATCGCAAAAAGAGGAATTGATTTAAAGAAAGAAGCAATTTTTTTTCAATTTCAGGTTCCATCGATAAAAAGAAACCAATGACTTATTTTATATTCTCTTCTGTGAAGCAATAATCTGATCCAATGCCCAACAAAAACAAATAAAATTACTAGCATTGAAAATTCAAAAATGTTAAAAAAAGTAACTATTTTTCAATTGAAGCTCTAATATTCGATAATAACAAGGTTTTACTTTTTAACAAAGAAAAATTAACAAAAAATAATTTAAAAATAAAGTAATCATTAATTTTCCATAAGTAATGTTGACTGCATTTAATTTTAATGGAATCGCATTATCATTTAGTTGTTGCGAAAGTCATTTTTATTGAAAAAAAAAAACTATAACTAAATCATTCACTTTATCAATTCCGCTTAAATGAAAAATTAAAGTTTTCGTGTACAAATAACAATATTAGAAGTGAATATTTTCTAAAGAACCAGAAAGAAGAAAGAATTTTATTTAAAAGAAATTAAGGAATCAGATAAACTAATATTTGATTAAAAGGATTGGGGACCCTTAAATAGTTATCCTAAATAGTAACAAGAGACTTGAATATAGACACTCACAAATAGCAAGATGCTTAAAAGATACCCTTTCTAACGCTATTTTTCGAGGCTCTGCCTCCAAGTAAAATAAAAATTTGTCTGTGTTTTTGAACAGGCAAATACTTAAATATTTTAAAAGTTATTAAAATTTTTTTTTAAATCTCCAATTTTGGCGGCATTTTTTCACCTAAATGAAAAATATCAAATTCATTGCTGTACTATCACTTTTTGCACATTTTTATGAGCCCAGGTAATGAAGCATTGAAGTAAGTTTTTAAATATTAAAAAAATTAGACCCCCAAACTCTTTTTACGTTCACAAAATTGTGGCTTTCCTCCTTATTGACGTTTTTCGCCATTTTCAAAATAAGTGCAGACAGCACTGTCTTTAGGTTGGCGAAACTTGGCCTGGCTTGCATTAAAATAATGCTACGATTTTAATGTAGAAAACTCACAAAATTTTGGAAAAGCAGATTGTTTGGCCTTTTTATAAGATGACTTCTTCTAGAACAGGGGTGTCAAACTCAAAAGCTAACTTGGGCCAAATAAACAATGCTTTACTTTAGGTGGGCCGCAAAATAAAAACAAAAAAAAAGAAAAAAAATTAATATTCATGGAGACAAATATTTTTATTTTGAATAGTACATTGTAATAAAGATATATAAAGTTAAATTATTGTTTGATACTTGACATCTTTTCTCTGCTACTATCTTTCCTATTTAGGAAGAAATTTTATTGGCCGAGACTACTTTTAAAATTGACCCAACGTGAGCGTTATTGATACAGTTTCGGACAGGAGATTTATTTCCATTCATAACAGAAAATAATTGCTCGCACTGATAAGTACTTTCAACATGGAAATAATTTCATATGCGAATTTTCGAGTATTTTCAAACCTAGCAGGTAAGTATTTGTAAAATTCAGGCGCACTCACTTCAATGAATTTTGTCTTCAAATTTGAGTCGTACTGAATCTCAATAACATCCATTTGCATATTACTGGGTACTGAGTCTATATTTATTGGGAAAATTGAAGAAAAAAAGCAAAATTTGTCTTCCAAAGAATTAAAATCTTTAAACCTTGTTTCAAATTCTGTTCTAAGATTTGAAATTTTTTCTGCGTATTTTTGATACGATGCAGTATCCCTGGAATGGCAGGTGCCGCAAGCCAATTAGAACTTTAGATTTTCGCTCGTACAATTTAAAATTATCCATATAGTTTATAAATAAAGTATATTCTAATTTTGTATGCTAGTTTTCTTTCTAATTTACATTTCTATTTTATTTTTACTTTGCGTCGGATATGTTGACTGGGCCGCAAAAATGTTCATCTCGGGCCGCATGCGTCCCGCGGGCCTCGAGTTTGACACCCCTGTTCTAGAAAGTTCTATTGGTGCCCACCCTGTTAACCAAGACAAATTAAATTTTCTTCTAAACTTTTCTGCCACTTTTTAAATTTTCCCCGGCCGAAACAATTCCGAAAAATGCATTCAAAAAGGAAATTAAAGATTGGGATCTATAGTGATTTTCAATTCGTTAAAATGGTTTTTTGTTGAAATTCAAAAGCTTGGTAGTTTTTATTTTTTTATTAGTTGAAAATAAAACTTTTACTAATAATGCTAATCATTCTGACATGGATTGTTTAGAACAAATATTTTAAAACTTACCGGAGGCCCTTCTTTACCGGATGGTCCAGGCAATCCAGGTTCTCCTGGAACTCCCTAAAACAGAAATTAAAGAAAGATTTGATAGGAAATTCCTGAAAAAATATCTTTAATCAGATTAAGTTTGATTTGCAGAAATTGTGAGTCATATTAATCACTATAAGTCATGTTAATCGTATAGTAATATAATCGTCGTAATAATAAAGTCATGTTAATCGCATATGCATATTCGAAAGGGAGATTTCACACTTTTACATTAGTTTCAGTACGCTACCGTACTTAATATGGAAATAATTGCGTACATGCTCATGTTTATTTTCAATGATACATATCTTTAGGTTATGTTGGCGTGATTTACACATCAGAGACAAAGCTACAAGCTCGCTGTTTATAGCTGTTAAATGATGTTTTCTGTTTAAGCCTACTTTCGAACTAAAAGCATGAACCATGGAATGCGAATTTATAGAAATCTGTTCATTAAATTTAGAAAGGAATCGAGAGATCTTAAAACCATATATTCATTCAATGAAAAAATAATTTTTGTTTAACATTATGTGGTTGTTTAATCGCGCTTGTTCAATAAGAAACTAGGTATATTATCTCTATTTTAACATTATAAATTATATTTATCTAAACTATGCAATTTAGTTAAAAGAAGTTAAATAATCAATAGAAGTTCAATAATATTTTAGTATTGATAGTAATAAGCTGCATTCTTTATCGCTGATTTCATCAAAATCTATAATCTACCTAATTTTTCTGCTGACAGAACAGCAGTTTTATGTAGATCAAAGCATCTTGAATCGCATGCCACAGCTTTAAAGAGATAGTCTACATTCATTGTAAATGTTTGTTTTGTTGTTATACCTATTTTGTTGTTGTCAAATGCTGCACCTAATCCAGTCGGGGAGCCACTTATTGCAAAAAGACTTCACCTAACTAGAAATATATTGAAACCTCTCGGGAGCGACCATTTCAGAGTGAAATGGTCGTTAATGGAGGTTTGTCGTTCATCCATAGACTTCAAAATGTTATCGAAAGTACATGATTTTAATTTTACTCAGTGTCATTTTCTTGGTGCAGAAATGCCACTTGTGTTGGCGTCATGAAAACTGGATCTATGAATAAAATGCTGCGTCCATAAAAATTATCCCTTCTGATATAATTATAAGTAAAAACAAATTTTCCAATGAAGAATGATAGAACTATTTTAAATAGTTATATCATTCTAACTGAAATATAGAAAATACGAACTACGGGAAAATGCAATGGACTTACTGGAATACCCGATGGTCCGATATCACCTGAAGGTCCAGGTTCTCCTGCTGGTCCCTAGAATAGAACAAATCTTCAAGTATATTCTAGTCTCAATTTTCAGAATAACATTACTTACAAATAAAAGAGACTAATTACTTACTTGTGGTCCCACAACTCCTGGCGGCCCTGGTGGTCCGATAGGACCAGGTTCACCCTGAAAAAGAAAAGGAATCGTGATTACCCTTAATCATTTGATCGAAAATTTAATTATCTGAAAGAAATTTGAACTTACTGGTGGTCCTCTTTCTCCCGAGATTCCAGGTGCTCCATCTTTTCCTCTTGTTCCCTTTAAATAAGAAAATTATAAATGAAAGTAATCGTTACGTTGCGCAAAAGAAAACTATTTGACTAAATAAAGTTTGGGGTTTTCATTTTGGGTTGGAACGCTTAAAATGACAGAGACATATTAAAGAATTTATCATGTCATTTGAACATTTAAATAAAAAAGGAAATTCCCCCAAAAATTAGCGTTTGAAATCCTATATCATTTTAAATGTTCAAACTCTAACTTTGAACGTAACAAATTCAATAATTTTTGAGAAAATACCGTATATAATGTATTTCGTGCACATAATAATAAATAAAATTGATATCAATAACAATATTTCTCTTGAGTTATTGGGCTGATTTGGCGATAACATGTCAATTAGATACATTAAACACGACGCGAATTATATAAAGAAAAATTCTACAAAATCCGATAAGTCATCACACCAAAATTAAATACTCATGACTAATTATGACACGTTTCTTTTTAATTCAGAATTTCACTAAAACTTTAGAGCTGTTCTAGAAGTTCTGCAAAAATAACCTTTATTACCCTATCTGGTCAAAAGTCTCTGGACACCAAGTGGTACACACTCAAGTTTAGAGGGATATATTAATTATGATATTGGTCCCCTTTTTGAATCTATGATTTAACTAACTAAAGTGCATGTGCAGTCAATATATGTATTCATTTTTAATTTTGGGTTAATTTTCAGCTTGAAATAATGATGAGTGCTAATATCTAGTTTGATATAAACTATCTCTAAACATATTACAAGTAGTCTGGTACTGTCATCTGGAAAAAAATGCCGTTATGAAAAGCATGGTAGCATGGTTCAAAACAAATTTGCAATTTAGCTTTGCAATAGGGTGGTCTAAAAAATCAATGTTGATATCACGATGTATGTTCTTATTTCGGATAAACCATCTTGCTTATATTATTTTCTGAATATTTTATTCTGGTATCCTTTTAGTTTCTCTAGGAGTGATGGGGAGATGTTGCAGTAGTCTGGAGATGCGTATGAGACGGATCATTGTGACGCTGAGTAAGCTTTCGAATCTGAGTTCCATTTTAGAGTTCTGAAGAAGAATTTGTAATTTGTGACAGACTGTGTGTGCTTGTGCTTTTATTGATAATTGCATGATATGATTTTTCCAATTGTTTTTTTCTCTGTTAATGACCTGACCAGGGTACTTTGCATTTCTTACAATGAGGATAGTTTCGTAAAAGGGAACAACTTGGTTTTTTCGGAGAAGGATTTTCTTTTTATCTTGAATAATTAATAGTTTCGATTGTTGTCCGTTAACTTTAAACTTCCGAACTAGACACCAGGTTTCTATTACACTCAGCTTTCCTTGAAGTTTTTCTAGGGCAATGTTGGGGTTTTTGGACTTAACGGCGATTCCAGTGCATGAAATGCTGCGATACTATTAAAGTCTTTTCTATCCACAGGAAAGTCGTAGGTAAATAATACAAATATAGTATCGGCCGAAGAATATTTTCATGCTGTTATTTTTCTATTTGTTGACTTCATGCTTTTCAAATTAACTTGAAAGGTCAAGACATCTTGGGATGCGATTGGAGTCTCTGACTGGGATCGGAGCATGCACTGGTGCCCGCATGCGCAAGAGAGAGCAGAGGCTCTTATCAAAAGAGGCGTCCAAATGATGTGGCAGTCCGTATGAGGACAGGATGGCGTTCGCGCTGCAAAATTCGACGGTTGAGGAGCAGCGAGGTGTTATCCGATTTCTACAGCGGGCAGCTGTCCAACGCACAATTTACGGGGAGAAATGTGTCTCTGACAAGTCTGTCAGAAAATGGAGTGATAACGCGCGTCCACACGTCTGCAGAGTCACACACATGGAACTGATCAAGTTCAAGTGAGAGACGTTGGACCATCCGCCCTACAGTCCAGACATGTCGCCCTGCGATTTCCATGTGTTTGGTCCACTAAAGAAACACCTGAAGGGGAAGAGCTTCAATTCGGACGACGTACTCACGGACGCTGTGAGGGACTTGGTCTTGTCACGGCCACAGGATTTCTGGGAATCCTGCTGCTTGTTCATCAATGGGATCATTGTGCTCAGGTCTATGGTGTATATTTTGAATAAAGTTTACATTTGTACCCACCGTGTCATTTGATCACCCCTTGTATCATTGTATAAATTAAAATCAGTGCTTAATGTGTTCGTAGAAACATTAGTCACTATTTAATATTTTTAAAACCTATTTTAAACTAGGTAATCCGTTCTGCCCTGCCTTCTCCTCTACATGGACATAATAAGCAGATAATAGGCAATTCGCATTTTTTATTTCATGTAAAAACGTGTTTGGCTTTCGTTTACTTTTCCACTTGTTACTTTCGTATGTTCTCAAATGACCAACTTGAGTGACTGAACATTTCATGTTGAAGTCTTCTTGTCATGATCTATTATCATTTGACCCACTGCCCAATATATATAATTTTATAATCATTTTAATTACAACATCAGTTATAAAGAAAGAGTAGTATAAAGTTTTATTTAATTAGAAATGAGATTTGGTGCAAGTCATAATGCTTTCATACCGGAGGCCCTGGAGGACCGGCGAAACCTCTTTGACCTTGAACGCCTTGTAGTCCTCTTTCTCCTTGAGGTCCTGGGGAACCTGGTTCTCCAGTACTTCCCTAAAAAAATTTAGTTTGATTGTAAATGAAACTGAGTTTTTAAAATAAATTCAATGGAAAATACGATTTAACCTTAGTTATGCCTAAAGCAAAACATACATATAAAATAACAACATGCATATCAATACAGGGTTATTCATAATTCCCTCCGTTTACAACAATCTTATGTTTACTACAACTGGCTTCAGTGGTACATGTTACTGCCATCTACCGGGAACTGCTTAAATTGAAACTTGAATACTTTCGAAATAATTTCATATGTTCTTCTTTGCGACATTCGTCTTCGTTTTTTTACTATAACGCTCCGAAACCCCGGAAGGAATTATGAATAACCCTTTTTTTGTCGTATGCCTGTTTAGGCAGTCGGGGTGCGATTGCTCCTGTTTTTCAATGGCGCCATCTATGGCCAGGAATTCGACTTCTGCCACGCCATTCAGACAACCACAACCCGTTTATAGGGCGGGTCACATGCACACTCAAAAGAGAAAGGACATAGAACACAGAGAGAAAGAAACATCCATGCCTTGCCGGGGATTCAAACCCAGGACCTTTCTGATGCAAGGACAGTCCCCTGCCCCCTACACAGGCCGGTCGGCATGATTAACCCTGTATAGTAAATAAAAATGAAATTAACCCTACTTATAAAGGTATATTACAGTACTTTTTATCCCTGGATAATTAACTGAGTGTAAATAATAATAAGGTTCTAAAAGCGGAACAGAATCTTGGAAACTTTTGAAATATTCCTCCGCTTAATGTTAAGTTTACAATTGTCAAGTATGGTACAGACCGAGATTGAGATGGGCTGATTCTGTGGAGTCTGATTTTTTTGAAATTAATGAAAAGAATTGGAGATCAAAGATAAATCGGAAGTCGTTATGGAGAAATCTTCCGATGAAGGCATTGGCCCACATTGAGCTGTGTGGCCAACTATGATGTTGATGAATATTATGTTTACAAGGTGAACAGTGAACAGGTTTAAGAATCTCGAACGCGATCGGTAAAAAGGCAATCTGTTGACGGGCTAAATTTTAAAGAAAGATTTATTATTAAGGATGCATTTAAGTTTAATTGTAATTTTACCATTCATCAGATTTTTCTGTATTTATTTCTAAAAGATGGAGATCCATAAGTCGACGTAAGAAAAATATACCATTACGTAAAATATTTAAAATATTAGGGTTGTCACATCTTTGTGTTATCTTCAAACATCAGGCTTTTAGCTAAGGTTAAATGAATTTACAATTGATTCAGTTCCACTTTATGAGTTGATAACCTGTTTAAAAGAATCGCCTATGCACTGCAAGTTTTTAACTTATACACGTCCCACTGTAATTTTTTTAAAAAAAAAACTTATATGGCTATTCTTTCACTATAATGATAAAAATATTGCATAAGTTGCTTCAAAAATACATCAACGAAACTGTTTTTACGAGAAAATGAAATTAATTTTAAAAATAGCTTGTTTTGACATGTAAGAATAATAATATGTTTTGAAGAGTAACAGATTTATTCTTAGAGTAACATATGTAACATATTTTTAGCATATTATAATCGCAATTTTTGGGGAATTTTAGAAACGCAATTAATTCTAAATATTTTAGTACACTGAAAAAAGTATTTTATTCCAATTTCGAACACATAAAAGAACAATATTTGAGCAGACATTTATGAAACTTTCTCCAACATTTTTAAAATTCGGTAGATGAAAACTATAGTTTTCGGAGACCACGTCTGAAAAATATAAATCACAGATAAAAATAAATGAATAAATATAAAATCAAAACTGTATTTATATAAATTAAAAAGAAGTATATCGAAATTTTCTGATTGAATAAATATTTTCTGTTAATTGTTAGCATAGATACTAATGCAACAAAAGATTAACAAATAGGAAAATATTAATTAAAGTTTTAATTTTTCAAGGGTAATATTAAAAATACAGTTTTTGTTAGAATAGATCACAGAAAAAAATTTCTATTCTTTACTAGTCTATTTTATCAACAAAAAAAATTTGTGAGCAATATTTAAATTTCTAATATTGACGATTCCACAAGTCAATTATTTTCTCTTCTAGATTTAATGTTTGCTGCAAAGCAATTAAATAAATATTTCTTTTTATTTTCAAATTATTTACTTTATCTCCTGGTGGTCCTGTTTTGCCTTGTCTTCCACGAACTCCACGATTTCCCTAGAAAAAAGTGTACAATTCCATAAAGATTTAGAGTCAAAATATCACAAAATATGATAAATAAATTTTGAAAATACAAAAAACTGTATTAACTGTAACTGATTTAAAATAACACAGTTATAATATTCATACCTTGATGTTTGTATTTAATAATAATGATAATTTAAGACGCACTTACTCTGGGTCCCTGTGGTCCACGGTCACCAGGTAGCCCAACGTGTCCCTAAAAATGAATGTTTCATCATTAATTGCGTAATAACTAAAAATGAGTTTTTCACCATTAATCGTCTAAAACTAAAAATGAGCGTTTCACCATTAATCATATAAAACTAAAAGTGAGTATTTCACCATTAATCGTCTAAAACTAAAAATGAGCGTTTCACCATTCATCGTGTAAAACTAAAAATGAGTGTTTCACCATTAATCATGTAAAACTAAAAATGAATATTTCACCATTAATCGTTTAAATCTAAAAATGAGTCTTTCACCGTTAGCTGTGTAAGACTAAAAATGAGTCTTTCATTAATCGTGTAAAACTAAAAATGAATGTTTCATCATTAATCGCGTAAAAAACTAAAAATGAGTTTTTCACCATGAATCGTCTAAAACTAAAAATGAGCGTTTCACCACTAATCATATAAAACTAAAAGTGAGTATTTCACCATTAATCGTTTAAAACTAAAAATGAGTTTTTCACCATTCATCATGTAAAACTAAAAGTGAGTGTTTCACCATTAATCATGTAAAACTAAAAATGAGTATTTCACCATTAATCGTTCAAATCTAAAAATGAGTCTTTCACCGTTAGCTGTGTAAGACTAAAAATGAGTCTTTCATCATTAATCGTGTAAAACTAAAAATGAGTGTTTCACCATTAATCGTGTAAAATTAAAAATAAGTGTATCACCAATAATCGAGTAAAACTAACATATAAAAAAACACTGTCAAAATATTATTAATGTAATACAACATATAAAAGTCATTAAATCCTTTTTTAAAAGTGAAATTGTTCTTCATTGCTTTGCTATCACTCTTAATCGTTCGGGAGTATTCAAATTGATTATTTTCTATCACTTTTAATTAAATAAAATTTAAAGAAAAGAAATAAATATTATTTTTATTGTAACTAAAATATTAAATACCTTTAACTGAGCTATTGCTTTAGACATAAACAATGTGCCACGACAATCTTTTTATGAGTTTGCTTTAAAAATAATTACGTAGTTATAAATATAATCATTAAGTTTCCAGTATGATATGTATTCCAGTATATATGTTATATAAAATACCTATTGTTTCATGCATATGCTATTAATAAAAATTAAGTGTAAGATATTTGTATGTTTATTTGTGCATCATTTTTTAAGCACTATTTTATTTTATGAATCATTTATAAACATTTACACAAACCAAATAATTGCCCTAAAAAATACACATTTGAAAACATCATGAGGGGGGGGGGGTTGCCAGNAAGTAAAGTTTAATTTGAAATGAGGAGGGGGGTTGCCAGAGCCTACGAAGAGGTTGGACTTATTAATTATTGTATTCTTTTAATGCCACAAAAATAACAAAAACTATTCAAGCACACCATGAAATATGATTCAATAGAGGATACGACACCAACCAATAGGAAACAAAATATTTAATTACTTACCCTTTCGCCTTTATCGCCCTTTTTACCTGGTTTTCCATAAAAACCTTTTTCACCCTAAAAAGTCAGAAAACATAGCTTATTTATATTATTTTAACAATAACATAATGATTATTGGATTCAATCCTAAAAATTTTTTAACACTTCGTAAAGATGACTAATAAGTTTGAAGATAACTTTTTAAAATATGTAAACCTGAATTTACAACGTAAATAAGTTGAAAATATAATTTGAGATGTAAATTATGCTCTTAGTTGTAATTAGCAACAAAAAAAAATAGTTTTTTTATAACTTTTAAAAGTTTGGTCGAATTTTCAATCTGAAAAGCGCCATAGTTGCCCTTGTTTATAGGTTAAAGTTTAGATTCAAGCCATAGTTGCCCTTGTTTATAAATTAAAATTTAGTCTCTAGCCATAGTTGCCATTTATGACATTGAGTTTAGAACAGTCGCACTTATTAACTCTAGCATTGTTTCATGGAATAGCAGCTGTTTTTTATCGATATAAATATTTCTAATGCTATATAATCACATTGAGATGCGAGAAGTAATCTCGAAGCAGCAAATTATGAGGACGACAAATTTGTCGCCAGAGGGCGTTCAGTCTATTTATGTTAGTGTTAGTATTACCCGTATTAGTAGGCTTCAAACATCAATGATTATGTTATTATAAACTTAAATGAAAAATTTAAAACAATAAAATTATTATTTTTAATAATTATTGTATACATTTTGAAGATAATAATGTTTTTTCTATATTTACTTTTGCCCCGGGATGTCCAGGATAACCAGGAAATCCTGGTATACCTATTTTTCCCTGTAAATAGAAAATAAATTTTATTAATTATTCTGTTTCATTCAACAGTTTTGAAGTTAATTATAACTGTTAAAATTAATTCACTTTTTCACCAGTTGGACCAGGTGGCCCCATTTCTCCTCTTGGACCTTCAAAGCCCTATTGAATAAAATTAAATATATCAATAAATCTAAAAATAAAATAAAAATTAGAATGATATTTAAATTTACTTATATAACAATAATTTTAAACGTTCTTGATAGTTTTAACGAGCTATACTAAAAATTGTTATATTTATAACTTTTCACTTTTCAGACCCTAAGACGTTAAAGTAAAAAAATAAATCGAATATTTCCAAATAAATTCAATATCTCTTAAAATAAACTTTTTACGGACTATTTGTAAACCTCATTAGTCCAAAAAATCTTTATAATTGTTGACAAATTCTGGTTGCCTTGTTACTCATACACTACAAAGTTTTATGTATTTATCAGTGGTAGCGAACTAAAGTCAAATTTTTTAAAAAAAAATATCTCTTTATATAAACTATATAAAACTTGACCAAAATTCTTGAGCTATCCAATTTCTAACTGACATTTAATTTTTTCTGTTTAACACGCTGAGCGCCGCGTCAGCCATCGGTGGCTGACACTGGACTTTCCATTTAGGCCGGTCAGCCGCCGGTGGCTGACCCTGAAATTACATTTAGGCTGCGTCAGCCACCGGTGGCTAACACTGAAATTACATTTAAGCTGCGTTAACATACCCTCCAACTGCTACGGAATTTCCGTAGTTTCAGAAATCTTCTTTTCAGACGGTAGCAAAATTAATGTATTAATATTTTAAAAAAATTAATTTTAGCGTAACTTGTCCACTATTACTTATAAAAGTGCAGGCCATCTGGCTAGATTCTTAAGTTCTGATAAAAGTTTTATGAGAGATCCATTTGCTTTAAAAATTTCTACTTTGGTTCGCTACCACTAGAAAGAATTATTTTCAAAATCCACATAAGTTGGAGGGTATGCGGTAACCACCGATGGCTGACTCTGAATTTAGGCTGGGTCTGCCACCGCTTGCTGAAACTGACCTTTCACATAGGCCGCGAAAAACAGCTGGCTGACAGCGTATAACACGATATAGAACTATAAAATTTACGCTCTTTTATGGAATAGCCGAAAATTTATTCAAAATTTACTTAATTATTGTGATCCTTGGTTTAATAAATTCAATTTAGTAGATTTTTATCCACCACTACTTCTATATAATTCGTAGGCTTATATAATTCACCACTTTTAAGAGACATGTCATGATATTCCTTCTAAAAAATAGCAAAATCCGTCTAACAATTGCAAATTTAGTTTGTAGTTATTTACCGTGGCCTAATGGGCAAGAAATATAAAATTAGCGTGGCCGTTCAACATGTTAAACTATTTATATGTAATGGCGAACGAAATTCTTTTGATTCTAATTTATTAGGTTGCATTTTATTTTAAACTTACTAGTATATAAACTTTTAATCCTTTAGGAGTATTCGAATTAATTGCTTGGCTATCATTTTTAACTCTTTCGCGCCGACTGTCACAAATAAGTGCCAGCATAAAACCGTATCAACCAGGGTAAAACGATAAAACTGGTAATCAAAATAATTCTTCAGCAGTTTATTTGTGGGCGGAGTTATAATTGTTTGATTTATTTAATTCACCATTACTTTGTTCAAAATAAAACTATTNAGAGATTTCATTTTCAAATATGAAATCCAGAAAACTAACTTAATAGCCCTTATCATTCTTGCTATAAGTTTGTCTTTTCCCTGCAACTCCAAGTTTAAATTATTTAGTTTTTCAATTATGTCTGTTATGAAAGACAAATCTCCTAGCCTAAGAGGATTTCTTAGTTCTAAAAATATTTGATTTTTGGCTGCAAGATAATTTTTTATTTCTTCGATTAAATGTATAAATCTATCAAGTACTTTGCCTTTACTGAGCCAACGCATTTCAGCATGTAAAATGAAGTCAGCAACATCAGGATTTTGTAACAGGGCCTTGAAAAGTCAAAGTCGCAAAAGAGCTGCTAGAATTAAGTTAACTATTTAGGTAATAATTTTCATTACGTGTAACAATTTTAGTAATTTATTAAATTAATTTTTGCATATCATTTAATGGGAAAATGGAAAACTAAAATATTTTATCGTTGGGCACAAGCAGCGGGCACACCAAGACCGATTGACGGGCGCCATGGTGCCAGCGGGCATAGGGTTGGAGATCCCTGTGTTAAACTATTTATATGTAATGGTGAACAAAATTCTTTTGTTTCTAATTTATTAAGTTGTATTTTATTTTAAACTTACTAGTATATAAACTTTTAATCCTTTAGGAGTATTCGAATTAATTGCTTGACTATCGTTTTTAATCCTTCAGGAGTACTCAAATTGCTTGCTTTGCTATCACTTTCAATCCTTTAGGAGTATTCGAATTAATTGCTTGGCTATCATTTTTAATCCTTCAGGAGTACTCAAATTGTTTGCTTTGCTATCACTTTTAATCCTTTAGGAGTATTCGAATTAATTGCTTGGCTATCATTTTTAATCCTTCAGGAGCACTCAAATTGATTACTTTGCCATCATTTTTAATCCTTCAGGAGCACTCAAATTGATTACTTTGCTATCACTTTTAATCCTTCAAGAGTATTCAAATTGATTACTTTGCTATCACTTTTAATCCTTCAAGCGTATTCAAATTGATTGCTTTGCTATCACTTTTAATCCTTCAAGAGTATTCAAAGTAGGATTTAAAAGTATCATCGGTAAATATAGGTTTTAAATAATTTTTGCAAGTTCTTTAAAATAATTCTCCATTAAACTAAAATAATTTACCTTTGGTCCTTCAGGGCCTTCAATACCGGATGTACCATCAGGTCCCGGTACACCTTGATCTCCTTTAGGTCCGTAGTCCCCTTTTTGTCCATCTGAACCACGTGACCCCTAAACACATATAGAGCAATGAACTATAATCATTTCAGAATTACATTGCTTGGTTTAATTTGATAATCACTACTGATCATACATACTTTTAACTTTAAAATGCAACGTATCAGAGTATAACTGTTAATGTAACAAATGTAACAATTAAGTTAAAAGTATAGTTGTTGAAAAATTAAAAAAGAACTAGTATATGTATGTTTACACTTTTGCGTAAAATACGAGAATATTTGTCATAGGGTATATAAATGAAATAACTTTTTAAAAAAAACATTAAAAAAATTCAATTTTTGTGTTTAAAAAGATCGAAAATGGCAAGTTTCAAATATTGTTATTAAAACAGTTGTTCAAATCTGAATAAAAACTAAATTTTGATTTAATTGGAAAAAAGTCATTTATCACGATAACAGACTCCAAGAAATTTGGATTTCATACAGCCTTGTCTTAAGCTCAGGGCTATATTGAGATAAACTACACGTAACATATTAATTTTCAGAAAAGTTCTTCTGCTCATAGAACGATTGTTCTTAACGTTGATTATTTTGCACTTTTTGCACTTCCGCTGAATAAATTATTTTGCAGTTACATTATCATGGACATTAAAACAATCGTGATAGCTCATGCGTTACACGTTTTCGTTATAAGAAATCATTGCATTCTAAACGAATTTCAATAAACTTACTGATTAATTCAATTAAATGATCGATTTAACTTACTAATTGATTAATTTATCTTATTATTAGTGTTTGATTCGATTGATTGTTATTATTAATCTATCTGACATTTAATTTACTAATAATAAATAATTTGATTGATTCATTTAACTAACTAATAATATTTAGTTCTATGGAGTAATTCATCTAACGCGTTATTTCTAGTTTGTTAAATTGTTCGAAACATTTACCTTACTATTCAATTTATTAATTCATTTAACTAATTATTTGATTCAAATCGGATAAGCTTAGTATTACTTATTGATTAGATAGATTCATTTGAATTACGATTATGATTTGATTCGGCTGATTCATTCATTTAACTATTACTAATTGATTGGGTTTGTTTATTCATTTAAATTAATATTACAAATTTTTTAACTGGATTCTTATTTTGTAGTATTAAGAAAAGTTTTTTATGAAAAAAATGGTAGTAGTTTAGTATCTGAATTAAATGGAAAATTTCTTTAGTTAGCTACCAATATGCTTTAAGAACATAACAGCTCATTAATTACAGAACATGAAATCACCCAAAATATTTTGTCTGTCTATTGTAAATATTAAGAGAGAAAGATTGGGGTTATCAGTCTTCAACATTTTGTAAAAGCCTCTCGTTTTAAAATGGAACATTAGCGTTTATACGGTTTTTAATTCATGATTGAAACTTCCTCAAAACTAATCGTCACGTGATGGAGAGTTTAAAGATCCTCACGGGTTCTAAAGGCCTCGAACAACCAAATGATAATGGCGTTTCTGCTGTTTTTAAGGCGACGTTGTCTATCTGTTCTAAACTACAGAAGTTTTATTTTAAAAAAAAATTTGAATAAGTAAAATATAAATATTTTCAGAAACGCATAAACATATTTTCCATACTTTTTACATTATTTTGTATTAATTTAGGCCAAAATAAGACTATATTTATCATTTTTAAATTATTCGTGACTATTATTACCAATATATATATATATACATACACCGAGATGCCAATTTGCTTCGGATAGCAAATAAATATTTTCGAGTGGTAGCTCATCAATGTGTGATTTTTGTAAATTCAATTTATTTGGTTCATACCCACCACTATTTTTGAATAATTCAAAGGTTTATATCTACCACTTTATTGCTATTAAGTCATGCAACACCATTTAAAATGTACGTAAAATATTTGAAAATTTTAGTTTATAGTTTTCCGAATTTAAATTTAGTATGGCCGGAGCAGTTGTCGAAACAGTTAATTTTTCTTGAAGAATTATTAAAAATGAAATAATTTTTGTTTTTTTTCATTACAAGTATTTTATTTTTTCGGAACAGTTGTACCCTATTCTTGAATAATAGAGATTAAAATAATTTCACTTAGAGAATAAAAAGAAATTTTTTTTTCTAATCTCGAAACTAGAAATGTAAGCATAAACATAAGTACTAACATTGCGGAAAGATAAGTAAAAGTATAACCATATATGTAAAAGAAAGAATTTTTAAAATTAATTTTTACCTTTTCTCCTTTTTCACCAGCAGATCCTCTCACTCCCTGGTCCCCCTAAAAATATAGTTCAGATGTTGAATAATTAATATATATTTTTTTAATTTTTTATAAACAAAATAATTCTTGAATTACTCTTTACAATCATAGAAAAAACATGACACTGTACTTCATAATCGTAGGAAATATATCAAATTGTTCCTCTTTGTATTCTTAAGAAAAACGTACCATTACTTGATGTTAATGTTAGCAAAAAAATTTACATTATTCTTCATTATCGTATGGGGAAAATTTAAATTATACTCCATACTCTTAAAGTAAAACTTTGCAATTTTTTCACAATCTGATAAAAAGACATTAAATTATTCATTATAATCTTCGGAAAAACAGCAAATTATTCTTCATAATCTAGGGGAAAAACATTATAATATGTTTAGATAATATTATGTATCGATATTTATATTGATAGATATCTATGGATTCAAATAAATAACAAATGTTTTGTTTATTGTTGACATTTGTTTTCGTTTTTATATTAAAAGCGTATAAACATTGATTGTTAATCATACAAAAAATTGGAAAGAAAATCAGCAAGGCACTTACCTTAACACCTCTTTGTCCGGGAAATCCCATGGGTCCCTGTGGTCCAGGACCACCCTGAAAAAAAAATTACTTTAATATTTATGATACAAAAGGAGAAGTTCATTCGAATTTTCGATTAAATTATCAATACTTTATAACCACCCAAGTAGTTTAAATGACTACTTTTTTACTAGTTAAGTTAGGGTTGTAGGTTACACGCACCGAAAACCAAGGCAAAAGAAAATTACTTACTGGATCTCCTTTGGCTCCAGGAATTCCAGGTTCACCAGATAAACCCTAAAAAACATGTTTTTAAATATCCATTTGCATAAAAAAATAAATCGAAAAACATGTTTCTAAGTATCCATTTACATAAAACAAATAAATCGAAAAACACGTTTTAAAGTATCCATTTACACAAAACATATAAATTGCTAATAATTTATTTAAAGCCCAACTATAATTTAATTTCACTCTCAAAAAGAGCAGGGGAAAAAACCTTTCGATGGGTGTAATCAATGATTATAAATAACTATTATAATAAATTCATTAAAAATTAGCTACCTCTAATTACCAGTTTAATCACTCTTGCGAGCCCGTTGATCCGTAAATCCTCATTGATTGGTATGATATTTTAGAAATAATACATTCCGATAATTAATGCAGATGAATGCACTTGTACTGGATATTTCTGATAAGTAAGCACAGCACCAACGTCAGTGGTATAGGGATCATGGGTTAGAATCCCCTTGCCATCCGGCTAACCATGAAAGGTTTCCGTGGTTTTCCTCCTCATGTAACGCAAAGACAGATTAGTTTCATCAAAAAGTCTTTCGATGTCAAAGTTCTATCAATGCTTGATCCAGAAGTTTCCTTGTCTTCTGGATTGGGTTCAAAATTACAAGGTACGGAATTGAACATTGGTAGTCGTGAACTGAATGTTTGGTCGCCTGTTCAATGACGGTTTTTAAAACAAGTATTCCACGAAAACTCTTTTTCTATAGTTCGAAATGTTATATAAATAAAAAGTTGTTAGAGTGATCGAATAATTGCTAAAAAAGTTTTTAGCCAAATAGAAATTTATCTAGGTGACCCAAAAAGGTCAAAATCAAATTTTAGTGTCAAAAAAATAAAGATTTGTCTTTAAAAAATCGTAAAAATAAAATAAAAGTTTAATTTTCAAGTAATTTTAGAATGTTAAGTAACAGTGAAACCTTATGTATAAAATGCAACAATTAGGTCAAGCGGTATTTATATAAAAATTTGACCTGCAAATTGAAAATGTAATTCTAACTCTAAATAAAAATTACATTATTAAAAAGTTGATTCCGGGTAACCTAAATGTTGCATTTCATGTATAATTTTTTGTATTGTTACTTTAAATTTTTTTTACTTAAAAACTAAGATAAGTTTTATGTTTTTGCTTTATCTAAGTAACATTTCATGTGATCACTGACCACAATGTCAACTTTTTATTGACTTGAAATTTTAAATTTCGAAAAAAATTATTTCTGTGATACACTCAATTAAATACAAAAATTTAATAATAATTTAATTGAATACTGTATCCGCACAGTTTCGAAGCGCCATCTAGAAAAACATGTGACATAGAGAGTGAGTGTGTGTGTGGAAGGAGAACCGTAAAGAGCTACAAAACCGTGCGGATACAAATACTTTATATTGAATACTTCGGATTGAATATTTAATTGTACGAAAAGATAAATAATTAAAATGTATGCTTACGTGACGGTTAGCTCTGGTAAATTTTTAAAAAAATGCTTACATTTTTTATTCAATTTTTAATTCACTACCACTTAGAAAATCATCCACGGTGACTGACGGAGTCTTGAAGCATTAACTTTACAACACACTAAGAAACTTGCTATTACATTTTGAGTGTTATGGGCAATTACGTGGCTAAAATAATTATTAAATCTTACCGGTAAACCATCCGCTCCAGCTAAGCCAGGAAGGCCTGGTTTCCCTCTCGGCCCCTGCAAAAAAAAATGAATAAAAATTTATTCATAAATTTTTTTTATAACTGAATAAAATTTATGCATTTTTTAAAAAAATGTATAAATAATTAATGAATTTTTTTAAAGAAAATCTATAATAATAAGAAATCAATATTATAAATTATAAAAAATTTATTAATTTTTTATTACTTTTTGTTCGTTTATAATTTTTGAGAATAATTTATAAAAGCTCATTAACAATTTTATAATAGAAATATAAACTGAAGATGGATTTATGTATAAAATAATAATAATAGCATTGCGTCGATGCCAGTAGTAATTATAAATTTTAATTCTATTTAAATAAAATGCACTTACCGTTAGGCCTTGTGGCCCTAAAGGTCCTTGAGGCCCTGGTGGACCCTAAAAAATTAAAAAATAAAAATCATCAAAATAATAATAAACCCCCTGTGGCCATATGTCTACCCTAGGCCATCAAACATTTATACAGTTCCAGCCGTCACTCTGATCGCACTAAAAATAATCATATTTATCTTATAGTTTTGAACAATGTGGTTCACTAAATATTGAGGAAATATATAAAAATCAAAATTATTTGTTACACTTAAATCATTACCCAACATGTTATGATAATAGTTATTTACTTCTTAAATTATTACCCAACATGTTATGCTAATAGCCTATTGAGTTCTTAAATCATTATTAAACATATTATGCTAATATCATATTTACTTCTTAAATATTTAACCAACATATTATGTTTATAGCATTTTTACTTCTTAAATCATTATTCAACGTATTATGCTAATAGCGTATTTACTTCTTAAATCATTACCCAAATATTACGTTACTTCTTAAATTATTACTCAATAAATTATGCTCATCTAACTGAAATGATTTTTTTCCAGTATGCTAACAATGTATAATCTAAATACCATAGCAAAAGGTTAATATAAATTTAAAAATAATAAGAACTTTACATAGAGATAGTGATAAAGCCGACAGAAAATAAAATTTTGAAGGAAAACGGTCGTAAATTTCCAACTGAGTGTAATATTTAGTTCCCAAATCATCCAATGGAATATTGAATTTAAACTACATATTTGCTTTACTACAATTTTCTTTACGTGATTACTTAACCAGTAAGGGATAATTTAACATTTTGCTATTACTTTTTTTTAAATTTTTCTAAGGAGTCTAAAGAGGTTGAAAATGCAGCTCATATCTGTTTCGTACGAAACCCTTCATATTATAAAAGTTGAAATAAACCTGCAAGCTTAAGTCAAATGAACACCCTGTGAACACGAAACAAATTTAAATAATGTTAAAAACATTCGAAATAACATCAATAAAATCACGCAAATTTAAATCAATTGTTCCATTTAAGATAATAGTTCCATTGAGATTCCATTTAAGATAATAAATCGCCTTTTTGCTATTTTCTTCAAAAAATGGTGGTAGAACTTTAAATAAATTGTAATAACATTTTGTAATTATTTTCTGGCTCAGTTTTTGTAGTGAATTTCTATTTTTTTATAATTTGTAATGAATTTCTGATTCTGCGGAATTCTATAATTTCTTATGAGTATCTAAAGCTGCAGAATTTTAACAATTGTATTGAGTTTTTATGATTAAAATCTCACGTTTGTAATAAGTTTCTAGTGCTGCAGAATTTTAACATTCGTAAGGAGTTTCTAGCTCTGCAGAATTTTTACATTTGTAATGAGTCTCTGGTTCCACAAAACTTTAGCGTTTGTAATGGAGTATCTGACTTTGTAGAGTTTTAAAACTTTCAAGAGTTTCTTTTGCTGTAGAATTCTAACGCTTGCAATACGTTTAAAATGATGCAGAATTTTCCTTGTACTAATGAGTTTTTAGCGCAACTAAAAAATGCAATATAATTGCATTTTCAAATGAATTTCAGGCGCAGCAAATTTTTCAATAGAGAAATTCGTTCATTTTGCAACTAGTTTATGGTAAAAAAATTGTAGCAGTGAAAATAATAATGTAGTAAAAATATCTAATATAGGTGTGATGCTCTACTGGAGAACACGCAGGCCAATCCATTCGTATGTTTCCTTCCTCCAAAAGGAAATCATTCACCAAGTTAGTACGATCTGGCCTAAAATTGTTGTCCATTAACACGAAGTCCTTCTAAGCCTTTGACCTTCAACTCCAAATTTGCATATTGAAAAGTTTGAAAATAAGAAAAATTTGCATTTGTGACTCTCATCTTCCATTTAATAAAGCAAAAAAAACTTGATTATACTGATTATATTTGCTTTTACAAGACTTACAATATCCTTTAATTAAACGATTTAGTAAGTTTTTTAAATTGTTTAAATAAGATAAATGTGGTTTTAGCTACTTTTAGTACTTTTTCGTTTTGACTTATTATTATTACCCATTGGCTGGTTTGGATTTTATGGCGTCTTCACTTTTCAACTACAATAATCAAGAGTAATAATAAGCAGTGCGTATGCGTTGCTATGGCGACTGCTGCTTCTTGATTATTTTTTTAGACTTCCTTTTTTCATTTTTAATTATGTTACGCATTTAGTTGGCGAGTTTATTTTTGATATGTGGGACCACAGAGATCCCATAAATACTTCTTGAGTTGTGAATGAAAGAGAATTTCCTCATTTGAACGATATTTTTGTTTTTATTGTTCTAATTAAGAATCAGAAATTGTAACCTACAGTTCATACTGGATCGTTTTCAATACTAATTCGGGTGAATATCACAAATAAAGAGGGTGATTGACTGACACGGTCCCAAAAGTTAGAGCTAAAGCAAGAAAAAAGCGATGCCAAAGCCTCAACTTACCGAGGCTGAAAAAGCCAAAGAGCGTAGACTGGAATACCTTAAGCGTTGCACACAAACGGAAAAACGAAAGGATTCCGTTTGTAAACGCAAGCATGAAGCCCGTCCCTCACACAAGTACCAAACAGGTTGAGAGAATTGAACCCTGCCGAAGAACGAATGGTGACTCTCCGAAACCCTTTCATGCAAATACGAGAACTGGGTGTTGATCACCAGTTAGGGATAAAAGGTTCCATAACCAACGTACCCAATAACTTGCACAAGACCGTAGACTGTCGGCCACGCAATATAAATTATTCATTCCCTATTCATGTAAAACTGAAAAAAAGCTTAGCTTTCAAATTATATTTCATGTATGAACTTGGGTATCCGAAGCGTTTGTATGATGCAGCTTACAATCTCCATCAAACACTATTTTAACATCCGAAAATGTTAATATTGATCTCGTTTGGCTGTTCAATGTCTATTCAGTCATCAAAATAATTTACACAGAATGTGTCTGAACTGCATTTAAATATGCCTGCAAGATTGTGCACCGAGCAGTTCAGGATTAACAATTAAAGATGTCCAAGATGAAAACACAAAGTTTCTTTTCCAAAAGAAATTAGACAACAACCATTTTGCCAACTGTGACCGCCTTGCAGCTATCACAATTTTCTACATTTTGATGTGAATCGTATTTAAAAGAAATTTTTAATATTGTTATCGCGACAAGTAAAAATATCAATATTTTACGATACATCGTCCAGTTCTATTAAAAACATAAAAAATTTTATTAATATACCACTCAAAGAGTAAAATTATTTTTATGAAGAATTAAAGCTTTTCTTAAATGAATGCATTTTAAAAAGTTTTTTTTCTTCCTCTTATGGCATTTCCGCTGCTGCGATTAGCTACGGAAATAATTAAGAAGATATGTGGGTAATCAATCATTTTTCTTCCATTCTTTTGTTCTTCACAACATTGCTTCTTGTACGTGCTTCCCTTTTTTTGTCGTAACCACTCCTTGTTTTGTTTCAGGTGATACTTAATCGTATGTATGTTACGGTCAATGTTAAAAAGTCGGTTATTAATAGGCTAACCGATCAATATTAATATATTTAAACATAAATAATGATAATATTATTAGATATAACATTAATAACCAAAAAGCCAGTTAAAGGGAATAATTTATCACATTAGCCGGTTATTATTAATAGTAACCAATGAAGCTTGGTCAATGTCATTCTTTCCCGTTTTTATTAGGGATATTTCCGTATCGTGATCTGCCACGCCAGCTACAATCGCCAAGGCGCCAAATTGATTTTGAAACTGGAAAAATTAAAATTAAAAAAAAAAGTGTAAATGTGTTTGCCTGGGGTTGGCTGTTAGTTATACCTTTCGAGTTGGTCTCTTTCTGGTTTTTTTCTTTTCTTTTTTTAGTTTCTCGATGGCCGATGCCTGGAATTTGCCAAACTTGGCGATAAAGCCACAGAACACAATACGGAAATTTCCCCTTTTTATATCTCATTCTGACCAAAAGAAGCCGTTATTTTTGACCGCATAGTATTAATGATAACCGGATTTTTTTCGCCTTGTGAGAAATACGTTTAACTGTTTTACTGTTTAGCTCACAGGCATTTAACTTTTTTACTGTTCATCTCATACGCGTTTAATTCTTTATATCTTTAATTGTTTAACTCATACGCGCTTAACTCTTTTATTATTTCACTCTTCGTTATTTAATTCTTTTATTGCTTAACTCATATGCGCTTAACTATTTTAGTGTTTAATTCATACGCGTTTAATTCTTTTATTGTTCAACTCAAAGGTTTTTAACTTTTTTATAATTTAACTCATAGGTGTTTAACTCGTTTATTATTTAACTCATAGGTGTTTAATACTTTTATGGAATAACTCACATAGGCAATTAACTATTTCATTGTTTAACTCACGGATCTTTAGGTCTTTTATTGCTTAACTTTTTCATTGCTTAACTTTTTCATTGCTTAACTTTTTTATTGTTTAACTCATACGTGTTTAATTATTTTATTGTTAAAGTCAAAGGCGTTTAACCAAAGCCTCCTATAACTGAAAGCCTCCACACGGTTTTTTATAGGTAGAACGATCAGACCACTATGATGGTAAACCAGTCTACGAAAGAGCTCTTCTATACAAAATCTAGTAGAAATAAGAAAGTGGTAGAAAATTTTTGATTAAAAATTCGTTTAATTTATGAATATTATTGGTTTGCCTTATTCACTTGTCAACCACTACAGATTCAATTCTCAAATATATATGATGGATTTCTCTCAATTACTTTTATAAATTTTGCAAATAGTGTAAATATTTTTTCCTCATCTTTATCTTCAATTTGTTCCCTTTTTATTATGTTTATCTTTATGTCGATTTATCTTTATGTATAACCCAGACTTGATTTTTTGATTATTAATTATTGTTCATTCTGAGATTTAACTTAATGTTAACGCAGCACCTCCCTTCCCTTCCACCACATATTCTTCAATTTAGATGAAAGAGCAGATATCCATTCCTGGATAGGTACTCTGAAAAACTTGATTAGTTAGTACTTTAAAATAGAATTTGGATTCAAGTGCTCAACTGTTTTACCTTTTAAATAGTCTGCCCGGACTACTTATAAAAGACCGTGTGGAGGCGTTTTGATGTAGGAGGTGAAGGTTTAACTCTCTCATTGTTTAGCTGATAGGCGTTTAACTCTTTTATTGTTTAACTCATGATTATTTTAAATGTTATTTTCTTGTTTTTCTTTTTTTTTAATTTACTTAAATCAGCTTCATTCTTTGTTTGTATATCCTTTAATTGTTTTGAGCAGTGTATATAAAGATTTTCTGACCAGGTTTTGATATTTTTTACTCCACCCTCCTCAATTAATTCGTCAGATTTCTATAAGTTTTAGTTATTTTACTGGCTTAAATTTTAACTCGAGATCCTAAAGAATGCACTTTTTACAATTTCATTTTCGACAAAGGATTCTAAAAGTATGTATGAAAGGTGACAATTATTTAACATCCTCGATATAAATTTCCATTAAAAATGTATTCTTTGTTGCATAGCTAAAAGTTTTAAAATTTTCAGTGGACGATCACTGAATATAATTTTTCAAGGAGGTGCTGTACCTCCAAATTATTCACAATCTTTAACATATTGGGGAAGATCTCGAGTATCCTCTATTTGTATCATGCAGTTAAATGTAAGCAGAAATACGAAACTTAGTTTTGTATCTTAAAGATGAACATTAGCAAACATGAAGTTCTTGTAAGAGAGAAACAAAAGCAGCTGCTCAAGATAGTGCCATGTAAACTTACCATAGGTCCAGCAGCTCCACTTTGACCAGGCTGTCCAGGTTGACCAGCGGGGCCCTACAAAAATTAAGAAGGCAATATATTTAAGATAATACTAGAATTTTATGAAATTTCTTAATAAAATGCGTGATACTGCCTTGCTATGCCTTCAAACTTATTGATTAAGCAAAATTCCTCAGACATGATGACTGGTTCTACCTGCAGATTTTAAAGTTTGTTTACTCTGCTTCCTTTCCCTAGTTCTACTTTAAAAATTCTTTCGATAATTAACGCGTATAAAGTTTCTGAAGATAGATCTTAATTCATTTAGAGAAGTTCTAAATTTTTACAAAAATTTGTCTACACTAACACCTCTGGATCAATTGTCAGCAAAACTCGCTTATACATTTTTAACATGCAAATTTTCATACATGCAAATTTTTTACATGTAAATACCTTTTTCACATGCATTCAAAAACCATCGATTATCAGCTCATAGTTTCTTCGAAACTTTTTTGGAATAATACCCACAGCCCGTCGTATGCATCATTTGCTGTTATACAACCAACTTGAGAACGGCAGAAATATTTTTAAATTGTTCGAAATGAAAATCAAAAACCCCATAACTTCTTTTGAAATAATAATATTCTCTACCCATAAACCAAATATTTCCCCTTTTTTAAACCAATTTTTCACATTTCTAATCATGTAAAATGAAATCACTTCGATATTTTACTTCCAAAAAATATATAAACTCTAAAACTTTAGACCATAATTGTACTTTACCTCGTTTATCTAAATATTATCGTTTTAGTTTGGATAATTTTAAATAAAATGTTTTCGGTTTTTCAATGTAACAAGTATTGGCCGCTAATATCTCAAAACAATAATCTAAAAATAAAAAATCTATAAATTATATATTACCTCTTTTCCTTTTGGTCCCGGTGAGCCTTCAGAACCAGGAATTCCCTAAAAGTAAAAATCCCCTTAAATGTTCATATTTTCCAGGTATTTCGCAAAAATAATAATGACACTTTATGATTTTCTATAAATATTAATACGTGAGACAATTTCCTTTAAAATATAATACGAATCTGCATTTTCATCTTTGTTCATTGACATTTCTGAATTCTGAACATGGATAGCTAAATAAAGCAGGCGATATTTCATATCATTTCTTAACTTAAATGTGAGAAGAATGCGACTCGTGAATTCGTGTGACAGAAACACGGAACTTTTTTTTTCTTCGGTTGAACGGATAATAGATAATTTCACGTCGCAAATTTCACATCTGCAATCGGTTTCTCTTTGCACACTACAATTTTTTTGCAATTTAATACTACACTGGTGTGCAAAACTTAAGCAACAAGTGCATTTTTTGTCATAACTCTACAAGAAATCATCCGATTGACATGAAATTTGAATATGATGTACATTATTTTATACTTAAACGATGGTAGAAGAATAATGGCGCAGAAATGAATATAAAGCTTAAACTAGGGTATGGAACAAAAAAAAAAGGGTTTATTTGATATATAGTGGCGTTACACATGATTGCCTGAAGAAGCGTAAGTACAACTGGCAGATGTTCCCTAGTATGGGATATGCCCTCCCCTTACTGTAATTGTTGCTTGGCATCATCTCTCCATGCTAAGCACCAGATTATCCAGGAGTTCTTGGGGTAAACGTCTCCATTCCTCCTTTAACGCATCTTTCAGCTGATGGGTGTTACCAAGAGGATACTGTCGTGTCGCAAGACGTCTCCCTAATGCATCCCACACATGCTCTATGGGATTTAGATCTGGAGAGTAAGCTCGCTAATCCATTCGTGTGATATCTTCACTTTCCAGTAGCTCTTGAGGGACTTAGCAGTACGGTGTGGCCGGGCATTGTCATCCATAGAAATGAAGTCTGGTCCAATGGCCCCTCGGAACAACGCACATGGGGTAGGATTACCTCATTGCAGTAGCGGTCTCCAATTACAGAACCTCGGTCGAAGATCTGAAGCTCAGTCCGCCCGTTCAACATAATGCCACCCCAGACGACAACTCCAGGACCACCGTAACGATCTCTTTCCGCGATGTTATTGGGATGAAATCGAGCTCCAACCTCTCTCCAGATCAACTGACGTTGAGAATCGCTTGTAGCACTAAAACGACTCTCATCTGTGAAGAGGACGCGACTCCATTGATGAGGTGTCCAGGTTTCGTGTTCTCTGCACCACTCTAAACGGTGCCGCCGATGGCTAACTTTTAAAGGTATGCAGCGTTCAGGACGTCTAGCAAATAAGCCACCTTTGTGGAGGCGTCTGGCCACTGTAAATCTTGATACTTGTCGTCCTGTGGCTGTGCACAGTTGCTGAGATATGGCGCTCGCTGACTGAAAACGGTTTCTTTTCGCCTGGAGGACAATGTAACGGTCATCTCTTGGTGTTGTTTTCCTTGGACGGCCACCACCAACCTTCCGAACAGCTGTACCAGTAGTTTTAAAGGCATTCCAAGCACGAGAAACAACACTTTTGTTGATCCCGAACTCTTCGGCGACACTGGTCACACTACGCCCCTCCTCAAGCTTCCCAATCATTCTTCCTCGAGTAAAGTCGTCTAAATGATTTCTTGAAGACATGTTTCACAAAACAAATTACTTGCACTTGCAGCGAATGTCTTTAACTACGGTGCTCTTCATCCTTTTATCACAGTTTTGACCTGCGCGCGCCGACCCACAAGGTTTGCGTACATCACCTACGACGCTTTATTTCTAAAATTTGCATACAAATAATCTTTCTACTGAATTACGTGCATATTATACTGCAATTTCATGGCTATCTTATACTTTGTTGGGGATCTGTATCCGAAAAACCACTTGTTGCTTAAGTTTTGCACACCAGTGTATATTCTTAACTGGGACTTTTGTTTAAATTCACGCGAGTTAATACTGTCTTCACTTATCTGCTACGTAGGGAGTGGTGGGAAAAAGGTGATAATACATTTTAATTTATAATGCGATAAGCAAAGGTCATGTTTTTTATCTTAAGTGTTTTATTCAATGGAGCAGACAATGTTATATATGTTACTGTGAATGTACGAAATGGGTGGTTGTTGACTTCTACAGATGAATGTTGACAATCACATAATCTCTTTTCTAAATGTCTGAAATATATGCAAGGTCTAGTTCAATACCACTGTCCAATATACATTTGCCCGGTATGCCTTGCAATCAATGTTTTTTTAAGGTTTGCCACTGCTTGCTATGCCCTACATCAATGTTTCTTTTAAGGTTCAGTCTCCCTGCCCAGTATGCATTTAACCGGTACTCTTAACACTGATGTTTCTCCTAATATATCCTCAGAAGCTATTCAAATATCGAATAATTATTATAATATCAACGAATAAATTAATATCAAATCGTATATAACAAATATTTTGGACATTCACCAAAGCGACTATCTGATTGCTGACATTCCCCGGTGAAAGTCTACATTTTCTTGATTTTGGTCATTCACGGTGGCATGCACACAAATCTCGTTCACTCATAAACATGGGTGAAAGCCCTTATATAGCAAGACGGAAAAGAGAAAAACCTGGTACGTAAAACATTTCATTCCAGCATTTTTTTCGAAAAAAATGAAATATCTGTAACTATCAAGATTTCTTTTATAATTCTGGCATATATATAAAACTGCTTCTTTTCTAAGATAAATATCATTGCATACCATAATGTTGCAAAATCAAAATGTTATCACACAATGTTTTTAATTCATGATGTATGGGATAGGGGCCGCTGCGCGGCCCAGGTACCCAATTTTCTGTTAATAAATGAAATGAATGAAATCTAAGATAAAGTAAAATTGTTGAAAAATTTAAAAAAAGAATAAGTAAACTCCTCCCCAAAACTAGCTATAACTGAAATGGTTTTACTACCAGCCTTTCCTCTTTTCCGTCTCGCTTTCACCCCTGCTCACAGAAGGCCAAAATTTCGAACTGTTCTCGAAACTCATAGAAATTGAAAACCGCTGGTGGTAGTTTCCTATCACGTTTTGGAAGAAACAGAACGAATTTTTTAGCCAGGACCCTCTAAAATCTATAAAAATCATGGCAAAAATCTTTAATGGGCGATCTAATTTTTTATAATCGCAATATCTCTTTAAATTACTTTTGCCACAGTTTTTTATAGATTAGGGTCCCTGCTAAGAAATTAGTTCCGTTTCATCGAAATCGGAAACTACCAGCCGCAGTAATTTCTTTGAGCTTTGAGAACAATTCGAATTTCGACCTTCTATAAGCGATTTAGGTGTAGAGAGAGCACAAATCTAGCAACTTTATGTTAATCATGGTTGCTATTCACTTGATTTCAGAAACCAACTAGACATAGCTTGTAATAACATTATGGTTGTTAAGTTATTGATATAAATATTTATTTTTAAAAAGTGGTAAGTTTACTTGAGTAGAAAAAGTTTGCTTGTTTTGAAGTTAGTCTGAAAAATGTATTTGAAGCGACTTCAGTTGATAAAAAGTAAAATCCTATTGCATAAATAAAAAAAAGTTTTTGAACTTAAGAGAAGTGTTAGGTAAATAATAATCAGTATGCAAACAAAAATACTTATAAATGCAATATTCTTACTATTTTTTAAATTCACCGGTAATAGTCGACATTCGCTTGATTTCGATCATATATATGCTTATAAACCTATTCGTTCTTCTTTATAAACTTGTACATTCATAAAAAATGTAACTAAAATAGAAATACCATTTTGAAAAAAATCCGTAGTTTCCCGTATAACGTTAATTTTAGATTTGAAATTCTCACACATGAGTTAGGTAAAATCAAACATTTGCTCCAAAATTCTATTGTTGTTCTACTGTACCTGAAAAGTACTTATCTTCTTTTTAATGAAAATAACAATAATGATTTATACAGATGTTCAGTGCCGTTCCTGGGGTGGCGAACGCCTGCGTGCAAGAATAATTTTGTGCGCCCCTATATACTATGCTTAAATTTTGATGATAAGTTTTGATGAATTTGGCTCCCCTTAAATTGGGCGCCTGCGTGCGGGGCATTCGCTGCATACCCGCCAGGAACGGCACTGCAGATGTTTGTTAATTTTTTTTTCCTATACTAAAGTAAGCAACAGTTAATTACTCCTTCATGTAACATCCCTCTGAAATTTTAATCATTATGAAGTTACTATGAACAATTTAAATAAGAAGTTTAAAGTTAGATAAGAGTTTTAAAGATATGTATGTTAGTAGAAACAGCACTTCATCAGGGGACATACACTGTCTGTTAACACACTGGAGCCTTTCTGTAGTCAGTGGTTAAACCAAAACCTGGCTGTGTTCCGAGGCCCCATAATGGAAAAACTAAGGAAGAAAATAAAGCCAGTTTTTGGTTATTAAAATTTCAGAGGGATATTACATGAAGGAGTAATTAACTGTTGCTTACTTTAATTTTACTGTAGAATAAAGTAGCTTAGTATAGAAGAAGAAAAATTAACAAACATCAATATAAATCATTATTATTATTATCATTATTCAGCACGACAGCCCCTTACAGGAATTGGCTGCCTCAACCACACGTAGCCTCCAACGCCTCCTGTCCATGGCGATTTTTTTCCATTTGTTTTTAAATCATTATTATTATTTTTTTAAAAGAAGAAGATAAGTGGTTTTCAAGTACAGTATAACAATAATAGCGTTTTGGAGCAAATGCTTGTTGCATTTATACAAATGTTTGATTTTACCAAACTCTTGCGTGAGAATTTCAAATCTGAAATTAACGTCATACAGAAAACTGCGGAATTTTTTCAAAAAGGGTATTTCTATTTTAACTACATTTTGTCTGAATGTATGTACAAGTTTATAGAGAACGCATAGGCTTATATGCATGCATATAACCGAAATCAAGCGAATGCCGACTTTCACCGGTGAATGTCTACAATCGGATGGTCGCTTTGGTGATTGTCCGATATATTTGTTAAATCTGATTTGATATTAATTTATTCGTTGATATTATCATTTTTATTTGGTTATATTGACTAATTTGGCTGTAGCTGCTTTTTGCGCTTTTCCAGTTCGACTAATTATTTTAAAGTTTTTATCTTAAAAGTTGTTTAAATCAATTTCATACTTTGATTGAAGTTGAATATGATCATGCTTAAATACTTACCGGTGGTCCAGGTAATCCTGGAAAACCTCTAGGTCCTATAAACCCTCTAGGGCCCTAGAGGAAAAAATACATTAAATGTTTAAAAATAATTTTTAAACAGAGTACAGATACAAAACAACAATATGAATGCTTTAAACAGTGGTAGAGACATAAGCACACCAAGTTTTCTTTGAGATTTTTATTTGTTTTAGAATCAAACTTATTGTATCGTCACGATGTATATTTTAAACGTAAAATATTCTTTAATATCTGAAAAAAAGTATATTTCTCAACAAGACTTTTGAATTGTTATTTACTCTACTACAACTACACGCTTTGGAAAAGACGTGCCTCCCTTCCTCAGGTAATTAAAAATGACAATGAGAAAAATAGACGATAAAGAATAAGCAGGGAGAAATTTCAACCAACACAAGGTAGAAGAAACGGAAAGAAGGCAATATACATGACAAAAATAGGGGGGCATTTAGAGATGGCTGAGGTGGCTTAGAGGGAAGGGAGATGGATGAATGCGTCCATATTCATTTAAAAGTAAGCCGAAATGAAATAATGTTCATAAAAAAATAGATATTTCTGTGGGAATCACTCCATAATGATATTCGAAATAAAAAATTGCTTGTCAATAAATATTTTTAAAATATTTTACAGATTACAATCAATTTCATGCGATACACTTTAACACTTAATAACGTTAGCTAAAATTATGATAAATAGAACTAAAAAATATTCTACACGTGCTGGCTTGTAAAATTGTCATTTTTTCAAGTATTATATCAATTGTATCACATGGTTCATACGGTTATTAAAAATTCTAAAAGTGATAGCAAAATCTAAAAATAAAATGTAATTTATATGTTTGTATTTGCCTTTACGCCAATAAAAAGGAATTTTTAATTTTTTTTTGTCACATTAAAGGTATTACTTATTCCTTATCCTTAATTAAAATAAATTAAATGGAAGGTGAGAATAATCCTCAGGGTTAAGTACTCTGCTTGAAATGTATCAGTCAGTCAGTATTATTTATTAAATTTTCTAAAGACTGTCCAAACCCTACTCTATAATTTTCATAAAAGCTTACCATATCCCCTGGTAGTCCAGGAGGACCAGGCTGGCCTTCTTCACCCTGAAATAAAACATTCATTATTGATAACAAATTTTGTCTGCCATTTATATTCATTCAACAGTCAACGTTTTCACTTTCGAATAACTAATTTTTAAACTTGATCAGTTTAACAACCTGCTATTTTAAATAGTTGGTGAGTTTTTAGCTTCCAGTTTTTAATTTGAGAAATTTTAAGATCCTAAACTCAGAAATTTTCATGCTTTATTCAGAGGGTAGCAGTTTCTCTGAGTAGTAATGCTACATTGACGTCAATTCTGAGAGTATTAAAGAAAATTTATTTCGTTTCTGAGAGTATAAAAAAAAATTCCTAGCATTTATTTCGTTTCTGAAAGTAATTAAATAAATTTGCCAACATTTACTTCGTTTATGAGACCGTGGAAAAAGATTTCTAACATTTACTTCGTTTTTGTCAGTATTAATGAAAATTTCCTCACATTTACTTCGTTTCTGAGAGTATTAAAGAAACTTTCCTAACATTTACTTCGTTTCTGATAGTGTTAAAGAAAATTTCCGAGCATTTACTTTGTTTATGAGACTGTGGAAGAATATTTCATAACATTTACTACGTTTCTAAGAGTATTAAAAGAAGTTTCCTCTGCATTTACTTCGTGTCTGAGAGTATTAAAGAAAATGTCTTCTCCTTTGTTTGTGATAGTACAAAAGCATATTTCCTAACAAACTTCGTTTCTGAGAGTGAGGAAGAAAATTTTCGAACAATTATTTCGTTTCTGAGAGTATTAAAGAAAATTTCCTAACATTTACTTCTTTTCTGAGAGTATTAAAGAAAGATTTTCAAACATTTACTTCGTTTCAGATGGTCGTAAAGAAATGTTCTTCATATTCACTTCGTTTCTGAGAATAGAAAAAGAAATTTCTTTTCATTTATTTCTTTTGTGCGTTGAAAAGAAAGATTTTTTCACGTTTATCTTGTTTCTAAGAACAGAATAGAAAATTTAGCTGCTATTTACTTTAGGTTTTAAAGAAGCAGAAGAAAATTTTCTCATATATCAACACATCGCTTCTAAAAGCAACAAAAGAAATATTCTTCACACTGATTCAGCTTCCTAAAGACTTTAAATAATAAGCACACGGCATGCATTATCTGTTGCAAAATCCGAGTACCCGATTGGAATCCTGAGTTCAGAAATACACGCAAAGCCGAGGGAATAGGTAATCGTCCCTGAGCTCATTAAAAAGCAAAATTGCAATACAGTATACTCTCGATATCTCAAAGTTCAATAGCTCATTCATTTCTCAAAGCTCGATATCTCAAAAGGGATCCTAAGGGAATTGCGAGATAGTGAGTTTTCGTGATAACAAGTTCAGAACTAAATGTGTTCTAAAAATTAGAAAAACATATTCTAAAATATTACTCTAAAAAGTAGAGTCACGAAACATAAGAAAAACTATAAACAAATGTGTATGTAATGATAGTTGACTAAGTCTAACTACAGCAATGATCATTTTATTTTTAAAAGCATTCTAACTATAATTATGCATTAAATAGAAGAAAAATAATTGGTTTACAATAAACCTAAATTGTGATTTTTCCGAAAAAACTCATTTTCTATTTCAAGGTTTTAAGAAGAAACTCTTCGACATAAGAATTTAAATTAACATTAGGTGGATATATATTGCCAAGGGTAAAAATATTTTTGACATAATTTTCGAGCTATCGAAGTTCGAAATATCGAGAGTATATTAGCAGCAAACGGAGAAGTAAAATAAATCACTCTCACATTTTATCAATTTTTCAACAAAAACGATGCGATAAAACTAAAGTGTATGCCAAACATCCTTTAGTATAAATTATATTTTACACATAGTAGATGTTTTATGTGCTCACCTGCGGCCCATCATGTCCAATCAGTCCTGGCTCCCCTTGTGCTCCTGTAAATCCCTGGAAAACATTTATCATCCAATTATATCTCAAAACCTTTAAGATGCAAACAACTAACAATCAATTTTATTAAGAGATTAGAGAATCGTAATTAAATTAAAATAGAAGTAGAACAAAATAAACATCAATTGATTACAGGACTTCATCAACAAAATAAATATGTTATTTCTGTTCGAAAAATTTGATAGAATATAGAAGATATAAATTTTGCACTTATACTGCAGGAACACTTTACCAAATCTGAATTTATTTATTTAGTTTTATTTATTTATTCTTATTTATTTATTTATTTTATTGTTACATCCCCCAGAAGACCCATTTCAAAAAATTGTATAGAATATAGAAGATATAAATTTTGCACTTATGTTGCAGGAACACTTTACCAAATCTGAATTTATTTATTTAGTTTTATTTTATTGTTACATCCCCCAGAAGACTCATTTCGAAAAATTACAAAGAATATAGATTGTTACATCCCTCAGAAGACCCATTTCAAAAAATTACATGGAATGTAGAAGATATAAATTTTGCACTTATGATGAGGAACACTTTACCAAATCTGAATTTATTTATTTAGTTTTATTTATTTATTTTTATTTATTTTATTGTTACATCTCCCAGAAGACTCATTTCAAAAAATTGTGTAGATTATAGAAGATATAAATTTTGCACTTATGTTGCAGGAACACTTTACCAAATCTGAATTTATTTATTTAGTTTTATTTTATTGTTACGTCCCCCAGAAGACCCATTTCGAAAAATTACATAAAATATAGAAGATATAAATTTTGACTTATGCTGCAAGAACACTTTGCCAAATCTGAATTTATTTATTTAGTTTTATTTTATTGTTACGTCCCCCAGAAGACCCATTTCGAAAAATTACATAAAAAATAGAGGATATAAATTTTGCACTTATGCTGCAGGAACACTTTACCAAATCTGAATTTATTTATTTATTTTTATTTTATTGTTACATCCCCCAGAAGACCACTTTCGAAAAATTATATAAAAAATAGAGGATATAAATTTTGCACTTATGCTGAGGAACACTTTACCAAATCTGAATTTATTTATTTAGTTTTACTTTATTGTTACATCCCCCAGAAGACCCATTTCAAAAAATTATATAAAAAATGGAGGATATAAATTTTGCACTTATGCTGCAGGAACACTTTACCAAATCTGAATTTATTTATTTAGTTTTATTTATTTATTTTTATTTATTTTATTGTTACATCCCCCAGAAGACTCATTTCGAAAAATTACACAGAATATAGAAGATATAAATTTTGCACTTATGCTGCAGGAACACTTTACCAAAGCTGAATTTTTTTATTTATTTTTATTTTATTGTTACATTCCCCAGAAGACCCATTTCGAAAAATTACATAAAATATAGGAGATATAAATTTTGCACTTATGCTGCAGAAACACTTTACCAAATCTGAATTTATTATTTTTATTTATTTATTTATTTTATTGTTACATACCCCAGACGACCCATTTCGAAAAATCACGTAATTGCACTTAAGCTGCATGAACGCTTTGCCAAATCTGAATTTATTTATTTACTTTGATTTATTTATTTTTATTTTTTTTAATTAATTTTATTATTACATTCCCCAGAAGATCCATTTCGAAAAACTACATGGAATATAGAAGATATAAATTTTTCACTTAGGCTGCATGAACGCATGCACTTACTTTGTATGCAATTTTATTTATTTATTTATTTTATTATTAAATCCCCGAACATATTTTTACCAGATTTGAAGCTGAAACAACACAGTAGAAGTCTGTAAAAAAGAAGGATTATTTACTGAATTTTGCAATGATTGGAATAAGCTTAACTTAATACATTTTTTTTTTGTCTCACTGTACGTATTTTAATTCATAAAAATTGATACTTGACAAGCTTGTCTTACTCGAAATAGAATAGAATCGAAATAGAAGAATAGCAACAGTTGCTGCTAACTTAAACAAATGCTGCGTTTCAACAACCAATCAGGATCGAGATACCCACACTACGTCACTTGCAGGTATCCCATTAAAACTATGAGTAAACTACGTACCCTATCACCTTTCTCTCCTGGCAGTCCCGGCATTCCTGGCAATCCTATTTCTCCCTAAAATGCAATATGTATTCAAAATCAGGAATAAATTTAAAAAATACACGTCATTCAAGCATGCAGTACATTTATACTGTTTAAATTGTTAGAACATAAGAGATATTTGGTGTTAAAATTAGCTTATTCTTTTACTCACTTCTTTGATGAAGACTTCCTTTAGATTTCTTTTTCTCGTTGTATTTATTTGTTGCCTTTTTTAGTAAATTCTCATTTTTTCCCTCTTTTTCGTTTTTTTTTAAATAAAGTAATATAGATACTTTAAAAAACACTTAGAAAGAAAAACCTTAAAAAATTTCTTTGGTTAATTTTTACTGAAGTAATGTATCCTATTCATAAAATGAAACACGTTTTGTCTGTTTTGCGCAATTAAAACTGCTTGATTCGTAACAAATTAAGCGCAATTAGTAACACATTTTTTATTAATCTGAAAAATATTATGAAAGAATGATAGATGTTGGTTCATTTGTAAATTAATAAATAAACTGTCAACCGTTTAACAGATATCCCGATTTATTTCGCGTTCATACACAACATTGAAATAAACTCTAATCCGGAAAGAAATCAGTCATAGCAAATACAGTCTGTTTTATCTCGTTTTTCAGTCAAAAGAAACAAATGTTTCATTGGCAGTTAGCTAAGTTCTGTTTGAAATTTTTAGCGTACTCAAAACGTATTTGCCAGTTTTTAGTCTTATTACAAATTTTTAATTATAATCATGCTTTAATGACTGTAACTTCTACAATCAAAATTTACAAGCATACTTCTACACTAATTTGATTACAGAATAGAAAAATAAATATTGTTGTTGTTGTTGCAGTTCATTTACGTCGCCCTAGAGCTGCACAATGGGCTATTGGCGACTGTCTGGGAAACATCCCTGAGGACGATTCGAAGACATGCCATCACAATTTTGATCCTCTGCAAAGGGGATGGTAGTCCCGCTTCGGTAGCCCGACGACCTTCACGCGAAGTCGAGCACTTTACGGTAGAACAGTTTAACGATGACCCATAACGCACACCCTCGGTCCTTACGCAGACTGATGCAAGTGGTCACCCTCCCGCACACTGACCGCAGTCAGTGATGCTAGTCTTTAGTGATCTGCTGGGAACCGTGTCTTAACTATCAGTCCACTGCGGGACAAATAAATATTGTATATTTGATGAAGAATCATAATGTGATAAGACATATGACGGTTTTTGAGAAATTAAAAAAAATTGGAATGGTAAAAGAATGAGAATAGCGCAAGAAGGCAATATTTAAATACATTTATTTACATATTTAATTAATATTAATATTATTAATTAATTAATATAAAACATTATTCATTAAATAGTACTAAATATTAATTGATTAAGATTAAATATTATTAATTAATTAATATATGTCCCGCAGTGGACTGATCGTAAAGACACGGTTCCCTGTGGAACATCGAAATCAAGCATCACTATCTGCGGTCAGTAAGCGGGTGGGTGACCACTTTGATCAGCCTGTGTAGTTTACCTCTATGTGCGGTATCGATCCTCGTTAAACTGTTCTACCGTAAAGTGCTCGACTTCGTGCGCAGGTCGTCGGGCTACCAAATAACTTAAAAACAAGGGGATGATTAAATAATAATTTTGACCAAATAATGCTTTATCTTAAATTTGTTCCACACTTCTCTTAAATTTTTCATGTTTAATGTTCTAATCATTATGAGATTACTTGTAGTACATATTTTGTTTGTGTTCTGTTATTTTTTGATCAAATATTGAACTTCCATGGGCATGTTTTCGGTTCATCTTCGGGAAAGTATCCCATCAGACCGTTGCCAATAGCCCTTAATGCAGCTCTAGTGCGGCGTAAATAAAGTACCTACCTATTTACTTAATTAATATATCAGTTAATATTAATTCAATTAGTTACATATTTATTACGTAGTTCTGAATATATTTCCTACTTATTCAGGTTTGCTCTAGCTCTTTTCATTAATTTGTTTTACTTCTTATTACTTTCATATTGAATATACGGTTCATTTAATCATTTTATAGTAGAGCCAATATTTCAGAAATGTTTAATTATATACCGTGTAAACTTAATACTTTTGAAACCATTGGAATCTTCTTCCTTACTTTAGAGTTAATTACACAAAGATGAAATTCTTTGACTGAAATTTCTTTACTTGCTGAGCAATTAAAAATTCCAGATCATATAACGGTAAAAAGAACCGGTACTTAAAATGCTGGTACTTTTTACAGTAAAATCCATTTTTAACGGAACAAAGTATCTGATATACCGCAATTTTTACAGTAATAATTACCGTAAAATCACTGAATCATTCTAATTAGATGAATATTAATGTGAAAATTAAAGTACAATATTTTATGATAAAGTATTTTACGGTAAAAATGGATTTTTAAGGGATGATGCACCAATAATGCCGGTACTTTACACAGTAACTTGATCCAGTTTTTTTTTATGATATGCAAAGAAGTAAAATCGTTAAAATAGTTTTTTAACAAAGAGTACCTTAGCTCCGATAGGTCCGTGTGATCCTCTTTCTCCATCTCTGCCACCTGAACCCTAAAAGAAAAAAAACAAGTACGCGTTAACTAACAGTTATACATCTAATGTTAATATTAAATAGTGCAGCTTTAAGTCCCAGAGTTTTAAAAATGCTAAACGTTTTAACAGTCTTTTTATTTTTGTATCTTTTGTAGGTAATCTAAATCAAAATGGTTGCTATTAGTCTATTGATTTGCAGAGTATGTTAGAAGAGTTGAAACACAAAACGTTTGAAATCATTACAATAAGTGACCCGTTAAAGACTTGAAATCAATAATAATTAATGAAATATTTAGTTGTCATTTTCAATAGAGTATTTCTAAAGGATTTAAATTTTTTTTAAAAATCCTTCAGTCTGATTAAACCATAGTCGGAATGCGCTGTCAGAGAGTTAAAGGTAAGTACAGTTTTTTTGCCCTTTTCACTATCCATTTTACTCTTGCCTTCCACTTAGATCACCATTGAGCAGTCTCAAACGAGATAGTTAGTACTTCTGCTTGCGCAGAGTGGATCCTATTAAACTGGAGGAAAAATTTAACCAGACCGAGAGGAATGCAAAATCTCTATATTAGGGAGATTTTGCACCACTTTTCGTTGGGTTATCTCTTTCCTTTCACATAATTATACTAATTGCGCAAGCGAGAAGTAATGACTGATTATTTAGAGAGAGTGTGGTAGTGATCTAGTTAAGAAGAAGGAAGAAATTAACTGTACTGTACGGTTAAAAAATATCAATTTCTTTAAGTTAATTATAATTTTTTCTTTTAGATGCAGCTGATTGAAGAGTTTTAAAAAATTTGTGTTTTAATCCTCAACTTATGACAGTTAGATCGCCAAACTAAATGAAGAGATATTATTTTAGCCTACCGAATCTATGTGGGCTGAAACGACTGAATGTTTACATTCACATAGTTGCTTTAATGAATACTGACATTCACATAGCTGCTTTAATGAAGCCGATATTTAGATAATTACTTTAGTGAAGGTTGACATTCAGAGTTGCTTGGATAAAGGTCGATATGAGATTACTGCTTTAATGAATGTCGACATTCACATTGTTGCTTTAGTGAAGGTCGACCTTTACATAGTTATTTCAGTGAATGTCGATATTCAGTTTGTTACTTTAGTTAAGATCGCGCAGTTGCTTTAGTGAATGTTGACATTCGTGTTGTTAATTTGCTTTAATGTCTGTAATAGTTGCTAATAAATATTTTTTTCTCACTCACACCGGCAAATATTTCTACTCAGTATGTATTCGCGCCGTTAGAAGGAAATAAATTTGATAGCATGCGTGATGAATATATGTGCATAAATATGATAGCAAGTATGCTAGATAGCGATATTTGCTACTGTAAATGAATAATGTTGTTTAACAAGTACTAGGACATTCACGAAAGCAATTATGTGAATGTCAACATTTTGCATCGTTTTTTTTAAAAAACTTTTATGGTTTCATGCACAAAATACGAACTATTAAAATGATTAAAGAATAGTGTAGTTTGTAAGATAAATATTTTAATCTTAAGAAAAATGATATAATTTACTTTCTTTATTTTAGACAGAATTTACTTACTCAACTTACCCTTCGACCTGCTCTACCTGGATGTCCCATCATTCCACGGAGGCCGCGGGGACCCTGAAATAGTATCACACCAACAATTAGAAAAAACAACGAGGGAAAAAATAACATAATTATGTATTATATAAAAAGTAATAAAAGTTTCCATTAAAATCGGTTATTTTCATGGAAAACTTTAATATGGCAATGTGTAAAGTGAAAAAGGTGGACACGAGCTTGTTTGGAAATATAGGGAGCCTGTGAACAATGCTGAGTCATTCACAAACCAATCCTTGAAAATTTACAAACTGCTGGGAAAAAACAAGATTTAAATCCCTTATCAGATGATAACGAAGAAAAATAATCATGTCAGAAGTTTTCTGGTGATTTTAAAATCAAAATAGACATTTAAAAGTTCATTAGTGAAAATTGTAATTCGATATAAATAAAAAATAATTTAGTAAATAACTAATTCCTCACCTCTTCTCCAGGTTCACCTGGTTCCCCTTTGGGTCCCTGAAAACCAGGTGGCCCCTACAAAACATTACAAGCAAAAATTCAATGATAAGAAAATGGTCACACTAAATCACAAAAATTTACTTTTTAAATGGTCACAAAAATTTACTTTTTAAAGAAAAAACTTACAACAGGTCCAGGAAGTCCTGTGAGACCCACAGGTCCAGTCGCACCCCGCATAGCTAACTAAAACAAGATAAATCATGATTTTTTTTTCTTCTAAAAATATCTTTCAGCATGTTCTTAAATTAGACAATTTGTGACAATTTTTTCTAATAATTTAAAATTTTAAAAAAAATTTTTAAGCTGAAATATTTTGAAATTTTTAGGAAAACACGTTTTTCTAATTGGATTTAATGTAAATTTTTAGACTTAAAATTTTTTTTATTTCCAATATTGAGATCTCGACAAATAGTATTTATTATTGGTTTTGATTTGCAATTCCAACACCCAACATGTTTTGTTGGTTCAACAAAATGTTTACAAAAATGTTTTTTTTTTTTCGTAATTTGCGTCCAGTTGGTAAGTTTAAAGCATGCATAGCTGACCCTCAGGTTTATTTAAGGCGAGATTTAAGGGCAATTTCGCCAAATGCTACGCAGTGAAACCTCTCGGGAGCGACCACTCTCCGTTCCACAGTCGTTGATAGTCGTTCTTAGAGACCACTGACTTTAAAATGGTTATCAAAAGTAATCATTATCGAAAGTACAGACAATTCTAATTTTAGTCGGTATCATTTTCTTGAGACGGGAATGCCACTTATGTTGGCGTCATGAAAAGACGGATCAAAAAATGAAATTTAGAGTCTAAAAATGATCCCAACTGATATAATTAAGTGACGCCCGGTGGCGGAGCGGTAGCGCTTGTCGCTGTCGTGCCACTGGTCCCTGGTTCAATCATCGGGCCGGGCAAGGTTGACTCAGCCTTTCATCCCTTCAGTGGGTCGATAAATGAGTACCAAGCATGCTTGGGAACTAAACACTGGGGGTTCCGCGATCGGCTGAACACCTACTTCTGCTTCTGCACCCCAGAGCCCAAGGTCAAGAAAACTGAGATGGGCACAGTAGGTCTTGGCCCTCTATGGGCTGTCGCGCCGCTGAGTTTAGTATAGTTTGATATAATTAAGAGTAAAAACAAATTTACCGATTATGAATGATTAAGTTATTTTAAATAAATAAGCAATTATGATTTTTGTTTCAGTTTGCATTTATTTTTATACCATAAAAATTAGTTAGCTTCAAAAGATGAGAATAAGTTTGTTTGTTTGAGATGCTTGTTTTTTTCTAAAAAAAGACTTTATTTTCTAATTTAACTATCATTTCTAAAAGTATATCATTGATATAGCATCGCCTATAGTGCACTCTAACAGCAACATGAGAATGTTATCGTCAAAAGGTTATTCAGAGGTTGTTATCGTCAAAAAGAGCTCTCTAAATAAGAACCTCGCGTAGATATTTTAAATACATTTTAATCTATTTGCATTGTTTAATGTTTTGTTTTGATATCTTTTTTGTGTGGCAATCCTTATCTGATCTTTTCCGCATTTGGTGCAGAGGTTTGTCCGGTCTCTGGGAGAAGTTAAGATGGTCTCTTCTAAAATTTTCTTCAACACAAAGTCTACGAAAAAAATTCCGAGCCTCCTAAAATGGGTCGTAAATAGAGGTGATGATTATATGGAGATGGTCTATCCTGGAGGTTTCACTGTATTTCATTTTACATATTCAATCGCCATCTTACTCAGAACAATTTAAGCTATACTAAAATCATTTCACTATAATATTAAAAACTTCTGATAACTTTTTTTTTAAAAAATAAAGAAATTTACTTTATTCGAATGCATAACTGCTTTATTAAGCTTCTACGTTTTTCCCCTGACTAGATATAAAATATATTAAGAGGAACTGAAAATATAGTTAAAAAATTTGCTGTCTTACCATATGTTGGCTCAACATTTGTCTCAGTGGTTCCGCATTATCCGGTCCTTTGATATCTCCTTGTGGCTGATACTAAAAACAGTAACAAATTTTTATTATTTCACTTTAAAACCATTCATCGTTCTTTGAAAATGTAATAACACTAAACTAAATCAATTTAAATTTCTAATCTACTCAATCAAGAAATTGCATAATTGTGTACTAGCACTTCAAAAAGAAGAATCCACACACGTGACCAACGACGTCAGCTTCTGCTGATCAATTTTAAGCAAAAGGACAAGTTAAAGTCAAGCTAAGTTTCTCCACATGAGTCAAAATGTTAATTATCGTGAAGCATTATATTCTTTTTCATCTACGTTTTTTACTTAACTTAGATTTATTATTTGTTTATATATTGTATTGTAACAGTTACATATTTTTGTTTTGTGTACCTTGCAACTCCAATGGATAATTAGTTTGTTTACATAATTTCATGCCTGTCTTTGTGTTAAGTAAGAAATATATAGGGAAAGAATTCAAATATTTGTGAAAGAATATAGAATGTGTCACTTAAGAGATTTGATGCTTGGCGGGCTTGGCTTACTCGAAATAGAATGGAAAGAACAGTTGCAAACGTAAACACATGCCTCGTTTCAATAACCAATCAGGATTGATATACTCCCACTACGATATACCCCCACAGGATCGATATACTCCACTTGCAAGTATCCCATTAACATTGAAAACTTGGTAAAAATGCTCGAGTAAAATAGTTATTCCTTTTTGGTGAGTCGTAAAAATTATCAAACCATCATTGGCGGTAGTGATCTGTAATAATTGAAAATAATTGCTGTTGGTATTGTAGTAATAGGTAATTAATGTAGGTAGTGTGGCAATAGATTCCTTACGCTTCCTCGAAACCAAGTTCCAAAACGCCAGCATTATTAATTAAAATAAATTAATTTAGAAATGTAATGAGTACAGAGGAATAAATCAGTTGTGTTATCAATATTTAAAATTTTAACTTTATTAAACGAAACAAGTTTTAAACAGATTAAAAGAAACATATTTTCACACAATTAAAAGAAACATATTTTGTTAGTTCAAATTTTTAGTTTAATAAGAAAATTTAAAATCTTACTGGTATCATGAAGATATGGCCAGGTGGGCCTAAAGCTCCATCCAATCCATTAACACCATCTCTTCCTTGATCTCCCTATAATAAGAAGTTCTGGTGTTCACATATCAACAGAAAGAAGTTACATAAACAGAATCCTGATGATTGTGAGGCCAAAATATGACAGACAATTTGAAAAATTATCTAAAGAAAAATGGAAAGATATTGAAATGTATTGCTCGCTGCGTTGCATTCTTAGGAAACGAGCTATCTTTTTCTCCAAACTTTAAAATTAATTATAAAGTTTGCAAATAGATGGCATTACCAACTGAAATAACACGATAAAACTAGATTTTCATAGTAACCACGAGTGTTTACTTATTTTCATAGCAAAATAAACAGACACCTGTGTAAATGCTGAAAAAATCTGACATGTAGGGCTGACAACTCGTACGCTTTTTGCCAAATATTTTATAGAATAGTGGACCATTAAGAACAAAAGTTTTCAGGTATTTTGGTAATCTTGCCAATATTCTAAAAGCCTCACCACGAGGAAGTTGGAACATAGTAACGTTTAAAATGAAGTTTTTAATTATTTCAAGTTATGTATTAAGACTTAAACTCAGCAACCAGTGGAAGAAATTTTCCCAAAAAGCGTAAAAATACCTGGACATGCAGTAAAAAGATACATAGTTTTAAAGATTTTTTTTTTCAGCCATGAGTGTCATCTATTTGGAGACTTTGTTTCTGATGAAGATAAATAACTTATTTCCAAAGCAGAACGCAGCAAACACATTAGTTTATTGTTTGTTTTTCTAAGTCATGGGTGTCATCTATTGATGAATTTCGTTATTAACTTTGAAATTTGATAAAGATAAGTAACAGGTTTCCCATTCAAAGGGCAGTAAATAGTACATTTTTATCTCCTTCCATTTTTTTTTCCATTTTTTAATGAGATTTTAGCACTGTTGGTCATTTTTTTGTCAGCCGATTTAAGGTTTAATAATAAACAGCTTCCGTATTATCAAAATTTAAAATAAAATTTGAAAAAAAAAACTGTTAATCTGTATAAGCATAAATCCTGACTTCAAGTGTATGGGAAGTAGTTTTTTATTTACTTTCCTTAAAACTTAATTTTAAGTAAAATGCTTCTCTACAAAAGTTTGTTGGCTTAAAATTCAATTTAAGTATCAAACTTCAATCAGTAAGTAAGTTGTTAAATCATTATTTTGATTGCACAGTTTGTTTATTTGAATGATTTGCAGTTATGGTGTGTTTTGCGATATGTCTCCGTACACACTAAAACTTACATTTGACATTTTAAATCAAATAAAACATGAACAAGAACTAAAAATGTTAGTTGGGAAAATATTTTTTAACGTAAAAAAACGAAGTATGGGAGTACGTGTCAATATGTGTTTCAAGTAGCTTTACTTAACACACTCTAATGACAATCAGAAGAAAGATGAAAGCGCAGTGATGTGAATTCTCCATTCTGCGTTCTTCCTCTCTGCATAGCGGTGCCATTTTCCATGCTAAAAATATCATTCCTCCATCCATTCTAATATATATATATATAATTATTAAAGATCATGTTTCGATGAAAAAGTGTACAGGCACTAATATTTGAAAATTTCGATGTCTTGTGCCACCGTAACCGTGATCGGAAAAACTACAAACCGTCGCTTTTAAGCCTATTCTAGTGTTATCACGTTCTATAAATTCTTAAGCGGTATACTTTCCAGGAGGTCACAAAGTTACTTTATTATACACCTAGTGTATGTTTAAATTGTGAAGAAGTTCCAAGCAGTGAATCTATATATGTGCAGGGTTCCCTCGATAACCCTGTTTATCATCATCATCAATATTTATCTGGGCGCCTGGGGCTATTAGCGGCCTTTTTCCCATTCGTCTTGAATTGTGATCTTTAGGGTGGTTCTTTCTGGTAATTGGAATGTAATTGGAATAAAAATTTACAATTACAAAAAATTACATTTTAAACATATTACATTTTAAGATTACATATTTAAACATATTACATATTACATTAAAAAATTACATTTTAAACATATATAATTCACAATTTTATTCATGGCTGTAGCTACGATTACACAATTAAACAGATTTTAAAAAAATATATCTATTTCTTCTTACATTTTTAGTCGCACCTGACATCCTTGCAATATCAAATCTATGCCTTATATATTTCCTTGAATTATTTATATATATAGCTGTGGACAAAATTAGTGTACAACAAATTTATTAATTCATTTATAAAATTCCAAAGCGTAAAATTGTCTACCGCTTTAAACATTCGAAAAGTTCTCCTCTAAAATATGGCACAGATATGCATGTAAGTATTGATGGAAGAGATTGAAATGGAAAAATAGGCAAATAAGTTACGAACTAAGTAATGTATTTTACCTTATCTCCTTTAACACCTGGAGGTCCGGGTGGTCCCTGATATCCTCTAGGACCAGGTAAGCTCTATGAAAATTAAAAAAACATTTCAATTGCATACTCGCATTAAGAAATTAGCTAAATTAACTAAATTTCAAATATCTTATATTTACCTGGACATTGTAATAATGATATCCTGGATTTTCACCACCTGGGCTTCCAACATCCTGGATTAAAAGTAGACAAAGAAAAATAAGAATATTTTGTAATGACGCAAGTGCTAAAGAAATAACTATGTATTGAATAGATAGTTATCTTAGTTTAAAAATACTAAGGCATTTTGCCCGGTGATCGCTTTCTCTCCAATCCCCGATTGCTTTTAATCATTTATTTTTTATTTTGATTTTTGATGGTTAAGAAAGAGAAATATAAATCAAAGCAATACATAAAATGTGTAAGAAAAATACTAAAATTACGTAAAATATATTATAAAGACAATTTATCAGAAACAAAATATGACTTATTCACCTTTTAATGATTGTAAAACGGTATTTCAATATATGTCACAAAATATTGTGTAATACGATAATATCAGAGAATTATTTTATGCTATAATGAACAACGTCACATTTAGTTTTAAATCCCTAGTTTTGAATAAAATTATTATTTTAAATAAGATTGTCACAAATGTTACGGTTTATTTAAAAAAAATAGCAATTTGTTTCAATTGCGTGAGATTTTTGAATGGATCTTAAATATTTTCGCGCCGTTGATTTGAAAATCTACAATTAGGCTTCCTCAACAAGCTCCAGTTCTTATGTAATTTAATATTAAATTCATTTACCAGGATTTAATTTCTCTGCTACATAGGGAGTAGTATGATGATTATACATTTCAGCCTATGATGCAATACGATAAATTCACGTGAGTGTTTTTTCCTTTTTTTTTGCGTAATTGTTATTTTTAAAGAAGCATACAAGTGTATATGTATGTATATAAACTCTATACGTTCTTTACAAACCAGTACATTCAGACAAAAATAAACCAAACTATAAATGCCATTTTGAAGGAAAAAAATCTGTAGCTTTTGGAACAAAAGTAATTTTAGAAATACCCAGAACCTCATTAGGTAATATCAAGTACTTGTATGAATACCACAAAAAATTCAATTCCCGCTTTAATGAATGATTTCAAAAAATCATTTTTGTCGATGACTGTCACAACTTTAAAATGAAAATATATTTTAAGATTGAGCACTTACCGGTGGAGTGTAATTGGTATAAACTCCCGGAGTTAAATCGGGATAAGGATAATCCGTAAAATCGTCGTCGTCCTCATCTTCATCATCATTCGACGATCCGGGTAATCGAGGAAAAACTGTGTCTTCAGGTCCGGCTGTGTAAGGCAGAGGAAACTGACAATCCGGCATATAGTCTATGCATTGATCATAAGCAGCTTCCGGACTTGGAATAATCAAAAGCTGCTGGATATCTCCCTGCACCAGAGAAATAGAATAAATAAATTATTAAAACTCTTTTTAGTAATCATTATAATCAACTGATTGAACACCCGTTCTCCTTCGCACTGAAATAATCAACAAGTCACAAATTTACATAAAACTGAAAGCCATATACCGATGAAATTTGCAGGTCACTTAAGACAATTCCATTTTCTTTTTAATATTATTTGTTGCCTTTTGCAATAACTTTACGTTATAAGATTTTATAACTATATTTGAACAGCCGATCCAATTTTTGGAGCTTACTAGTACTAATGTTCAACTCTATGTATAACCTTGTAATTTTGAACATAATCCAGAAGACAAAGGAACTCCTGGATCGAGTATTGGGAGAAATTTGCCTTCGTAGAGGACTTTTTGAGGGAACTAGCCCGCATTTGCATTACACGGAGAGGACAACCACGAAAACCTTCCACGATTAGTCTGACAGCAAGGGGACTCTAACCTATGATCCATCTACCACTGAGGTTATTTAACTTCAGCACTGCCGAGTGCGTAATTTTTATTGACCAGTCATCGCTGTGAGTCGAACCCGGTTCACCTCATTGGAAGGCGAAAGCTCTATCTTCTGATCCACCACGACTCACGTTATTCGATTGAGCAAAACAAGCTTCTAAAAGTTCAACATAAAGAGTAACTACTATACTCAGTATCATTCACCTCCAGATATAGTGATAGAGACCAATATCTGTATTTGATGCAATCAAGCAATTTCCCCCCCGATGAATAAGTAAATATTTTGTTACAATAACTGTTGGTTTTCCAATGTTTAGGTTTGTCGAAACACGCTTTAAAAGAGGTGATTACGTCATCCCATGTACATTTTTCTTGAGCTTACAATGATACAAAAATAAACAATTGTTGAAAAACGATCAATGAGCTTGAAAATCATTTTTGGTCAAAGGTAGTATGAAAGAAAGAAAACGTAAATAGGTTATCTTTTAAAAAAATTGAATTGCCTGTAGTTTAACTATTGAAAGCAGAATTTTCATTAAACAAATTTTTCTCAATTTTTTATTATTTTGTATTAATATTATGAGTCAAAATAAGTGAAAGATTTATATTGAGCATTTTAATAATTTTTGGTTATAAAATATAGCATAAAACACAAGTGTTTTTCTGGGTTAATGGTAGAATTTTCCAAACACAACACACTTCTAAGCAATGATATTTCAAATTTGGATTTATTTGCAGTTATTTAAAATTTATGAGAAACAGTTGTTCATTGCAGAAATATCTTCAATTTACAAAATTGATTATTGATAAATATTTGAATATGAATGAAAAAAACATTTTTACAATACTTATTTTTAGATTTATATTTTAGTACAAACATATTCCGATAATTTAATAATTTCTTTAGTAACCATTAGACTGCTTTTTTTTTAATTAAAAAAATACGAAAATATCTTTTTGCTTGTAATTGGAGCGTCAGAAAAATACGTATAAAGGGAACACCGGTGGCCGATATGCGTCAAAAGGTTAATTCATGTCAATGACGTTTCTTTGTGGCGTAACTACCACTACAGTTATTATACATAAATTTACTAGTATATGAAGCATGCTAACTCGACTTACAATCGATGAACTATTTAATCAATAAAAGTTGATGTCGACTAATGTAACTCTCCCACATTGGTAATCTACAAATGAGATATAATCACCCATACTTTGGATATAGTATAGTTTTTCAATCTTTACTTTGCTAACGTTAAGTCTTTTCAATGGTGCACGAGCCCTTCTTTATAGAGAAAAAAAAATGCTTGGAAAAGTATTTACAGGGGGATACATTGCAGAGATTACAAATTTGAAAAGAAGAAGTGGTACTCATTCTTAATAAATGCCCGATTCGTGCGTTTTGGTCAGGTAAATCTATTTATCTACATTACCTGGAATCTTATTTTCTGTTTTCTATTAATTATTGTTGAAGCAGGCACAGACATACATATTTAATAATCATTTAATGTTTCGGCTACATTGTTAAATTAACCACCAAATTATTAAATTACGATTAAAAAAATATTTCTGAGCCCATCTCAATTCAGTTTTTGATCATAATTATTAAAAAAATGAAATTAAGATAATTTAGCAAATCAAAGGCACACTAACACGAAGTTCATAAGGAAAACTATCGATTTAAAAGGACACGAACCACCAGTCCATATTGAGGTGATATTTCCGGTCATATGTTGCTATGCAATTATTAATCCTCATGATGTGTCCGACCTTCCGTCCAAGTTTGTAACCGCTGCACTAAATTAAATTGCATCATAGTTAAGACAATTTACGTCTTTTAACTTTTTGTTTAAAGTTTTTTGGGGTACCAATTCAAATCAGTTCTCATTACAAATGTGAAACATCTTCGGATTTTAAATCATTCTCTTAATAAACTATAAAAATAATTTACTCCACAATAACAATAGAAGACTGCAATTCAAACATAGTTTTATTTTAAAGAAAGCTTTCATAACAATTCTTTCAATTGGGTACTTGCACTTTATAAGAGGAAGAAAATCACAATACCCACACATGTGACCTACGACGTTAGTGCCCGCTGATGGTTTATAAGCAAAATGAAATGTCAAAGTTCAGCTAATTTTCTCCAGATAAGTTAGAATGTTAATTAAAATAAGTTAACTAAATACAGCGTCGCATCACACATCGAGTGAGATGAAATACAATACTTTCACTTTTACGTCTTTTATATAACTTATATTTATTAATTGTTTACGTATTTTTTGTTATCGTGATATATTTTTGTTTTATGTACCTGACAACTTCAATGCATGAATAATATGTTTATGTTCTACGTGGCTTCGTGCCTGTCTCTGTGTTAGGATAGAATAATGTAGTGAAAGAATTAAAATATTTGCGAAAGAATCTTCGTGAAAGAATATAAAATGTGTCACCCTGAAAGAAGTGGTATTTGAAATGCTTGTCTTACTCGATCGAGAGTGGAAGGAGCAGTTGCTGACGTAAACAAAAGCCACGTTTCAACAACCAATCAGGATCAAGATACCTGCACTATGGCACTTGCAGGTATCCCATTAATATTAAAACAAATGCTTGCAGAAGGAGGCAATTGTGTATAAATGTTTACCTCGTAATACACACCGTCAACAAGTTGTACACCAATCAGAAGCGTTCCTGTCAGATCTGTGTAAGCATCTTCAGTTCGATTTAGTGATTCCGTGATCTGATCACCACAATCACTTAAAAGAGTCACAGAGTTTCCTTTGATACCCAAGGCTATTCTATGCCACCTGAAATTGCGAGATAACGGTTTATTATTTAAAATAGCTAACTACTCTAAAACTAGACAGATTCATTATTCATAATTACTAAATACATTATAGCTAGACAATTTCGTTATTCAAAATAGCTAAATACATTAAGAAAGACAGGTTCATTATTCAAGAAAACTAAATACATTAAAGTTAATCATGTTCATTCTTCAAAGTAACTAAATAAATAAATTCTAGTCAGAATCGTTATTCAAAATTACTAAATAATTTAAAGCTAGACAGGCTCTTTATTCAAAATAATTAAAGATATTAAAACTAATCAAGTTAATTATTCAATATAACTAAATACATTAAAGCTAGACAGGTTCATTATTCAAGAAATCTAAATGCATTAAAGTTAATCAGATTCATTATTCAAAATAACTAAATATATTGAAGCTAGACAATTTCATTAATAAAAAGTAACTAATTACATTAAGGCTAAACAGGTTTATTACTCAATGTAACTAAATAAATAAAATCTAGACATATTCATTATTCAAAATAACTAAATGCATTAAAGTTAAGCATGTTCAATATTCAAAAATAAATTAACCAATTTAAATTAGTAGCCTTTTTATTTAAAAAATTAAAGCGAATGTGTCCATGGTAATGCGCTAACCAATTGCTTATTTCTTTCGAGGGATCATAAAAAAAATGCTCAACTTATTATTGATGACAATGGTGCATAATTAATTTTTGAAGTTAGTACTGATATGGTTGTAATCGGAGTTGTTATAATCAATATTAAATATAATATTATAGATATTTAGTATAAGTGCTGGGGTAAAAGATAAGTAACGGAAAAAATGATTTATTGTGATAAATTTTAACGGTTAAGAGTTGGTGTCAAGCAATAGCCCCATGCTGAATAATACTGAATATAATTTATTACTTTGATGAGATAAACTTCTAAATATACGCTTCGCCTAGTCTAATAACGTAAAGCCACCGAGAAGAGTAACATGTAATAATAAAAGAAAAATCTTGGAATTGTTTTAAGTTTCTTCAGTTCAGCTGGTCTTCCAGTTTTGCGCATGATTTCGTGGTGTTAACTGATACCCATTTATTATCATATATACAAGTGTTTGTTGTTACCTAATTCGAGTGTGGGGATTTCAAATCTGTAATTTATTCCGTTCCTACAGCTACAGAATTTTTCCAAATGATATTTTTAGTTTAGTTTATTTTTGTCTAAATGTATAAGTTTAAAAAGAACGTATAGATTTGTATGCACTTGTCTGCTACTTTAAAAACAACACACGAAACAAAAAAAATCATATGACCTTAACGTATAACATCATAAACTACAATGTATTTCCGCGTTTATCCTGCCATTCCTTACGTAACAGAGAAGTAGAGATGCTCGGTATTCAGTCGAGTGAATATTAAGAAGTCCTGGTTAGGAATATATCATTAAATTACATAAAAACTTAAGCTTGTCCTTTCAAAAGTCACATGCAACAGAGAAAAAAATTGTTCCCCAGTGTTATTTACTTATTTTTTATCTCTTACGAAAATCGGTTGTGTTCCTATAAATTAATATAAATGTAGTATCAGCATACTTTCCATCATTCACAGAAACCGGAAAAGAGACTTCAGTCAATGTAGGAACATCTTGACTCTCTCTACACATGAAGGTGATATTCTCGCCAATTCCAACCGCCAACTGTTCTTCAGCAGCATTGTTGTAAACGGTGAAGAGGAATGCCTCAGATCCCTGATTCGGTCTAATTGTTGCCAATATTGAAAAATCATATGGAAAACCTCCTGAAAACAGAAAATGTGTAGCTATCAAATTAATGATGATATATCATAGCAAACCAACTTNCGAAAAATCATAACCCCATCGAAAAAAGTGATGTAGATTGAGGCCATGCTTGTTCCCGTTCCTCCACCCATTTCATGTGCTTTTCAAGATTTTCAACCTCCCTAAGTGGCATCCGTGTTTTATGGCAAGATTTCATCCACTTGATACCTTTAATCCTTTTGGAATGCGTCGGTCGAATCATAGAACACGTGATATATATGGTATAACAGTTAAACGTTGTTCATAACTTCAATACATGTATTTCATTGTCGCTGACCTTCAAATGGTATAATATGATGGAATATTTAAATAAACAATTTATAGGGCATTACTGTTAGTACTTTTATTAATTTCGTGTTGACAATAGCCAAAGATTTTCGTATCTTCGTCGTCAATTAACTTCATCATAGAACTTTTCTTGACAATTAGAATGCACCGATTACAAAGAGAAACTGTTATGGATTGATATTTTTTTTCTGTTTTACAGAAAAACTATATTGAGATGAATGTATAATTCGAATAAATTTGATGATAATGAACATAAACTACTAACAACTATTTTAGATAACTAAACCAATGACAAAGAAAATGAATGAGAAGAAAAATTAATAACAATGCGAAATGGCTTTAGAATAATATCCGTCAGTGTTATACAGAGTAACATGTAATATTTCCCTGTAAAACGAATGATGTATTTTCAAATAAATTGCTCACAACTAAATACATTAGACGACTAACGCAAGTGCAAATCATCACTGAAGAACAATTTTGTTTCAGTTGCATAAGATTTTTGAATGGATATTTGATATTTTCGATTCGTTGATTTGAAAATCTTTAATTAGTTTCCATCAATAAGCTCCAGTTTTTATGTAATTTAATATTAAAATCATTTACCAGGATTTTTTTAAAAATTCACTCGAGTAAATGCCAAGTGTTCCGATTTCTCTGCTACATAGGGAGTAGTAGGATTATAATACAATTCAGCCTATGATGCAATACGATAAATTAATGTGCTTTTTTCCTTTCCTTTTTTGCCTCAATCGTTATTTTCAAAGAAGGATACAAGTGTGTATGTATGTAAACCCTCTACGTTCTTTATGAACCCGTACATTCAGACAAAAATAAAGCAAACTATAAATGCCAAAATTAATTTCAAATTTGAAATACCCACAACCTAATTAGATAAGATCACGCACTTGCATGAATACCACAAAAAATTCGTTTCCCGCTTTAATTGAGGATTTTGGAACATCATTTCTGTCAATGAGTGTCACAACTTTAAAATGAAAATATATTTTAAGATTGAGCACTTACCGGTGGAGTGTAATTAGTATAAACTCCCGGAGTTAAATCGGGATAAGGATAATCCGTAAAATCATCGTCGTCTTCATCTTCATCGTCATTCGACGATCCGGGTAATCGAGGAAAAACTGTGTCTTCAGGTCCGGCTGTGTAGGGCAGAGGAAACTGACAATCCGGCATGTAGTCTATGCATTGATCATAAGCAGCTTCCGGACTTGGAATAATCAAAAGCTGCTGGATGTCCCCCTACACCAGAAAAATTGAATGAATAAATTATCAAAACCCTTTGTAATAATCATTATAACCAACTCATTGAATACCTGTTCGTCTTGGCACTGAAATAATCAACAAGCCACAAATATACATAAAACTGAAAAGCCATATACCGATGAAATTTGCAGGTCACTTAAAACATTTCCCTTTTCTTTTTAATATCATTTGTTGCCCTTTGCAATAACTTTACGTTATAAGATTTTATAACCGTCGTTGAACAGCCGATCCAATTTTTGGGGCTTACGACTCCTAATGCTAAACTCTGTAGCCTTGTAATTTTGAACCCCATTCAGAAGACAAATCCTGGAGAAATCCTAGATCAAGTATTGGGAGAAATTTGCTTTTGTGGAGGACTTTTTGAGCGGACTAGCCCGCATTTGCATTACACGGAGTGGGCAACCATGAAAACCTCCCATGGTTAGCCTGACGGCAAGGGGACTCTAACCCATTATCCGTCTACCACTGAGGTTATTTTACGTCAGCACTGCCAAGTGCGGAATTGTTATTGACCAGCCATTGCTGTGATTCAAACCCGGATCACCTAATTAGAAGATGAACGCTCTAGCTCTTGAGCCACCTTGACTCACGTTATTCGATTGAGTACAACACTTTTAAAAGTTCAGCATATAAAAATAAAGAATTTTTACCTGGAATTTTTATTTTCTGTTTTCTATAATTTATTGTTGAAGCAGGCTCAGAAATACACATTGGGTCGTAATTTAATGTTTTGGCTACCTTGTTAATTTAACCACCAAATTTTTAAATTATCATTAAAAAAATATTTCTGAGCCAATATCAATTCAGTTTTTGATCATAATTATTAAAAAAATTAAATTAAGATAAATTAGATAAATAAAATTTGCAAATTACAGGCACACGAACAAGAAGTTCATAAGGAAAACTATCGATTTAAATAGACACAAATCACCAGTCCATATTAAGATGATATTTCTGGTCATATGTTACTATGCAATTATTAATCCTCATGATGTGTCCGACCTTCCGTCCAAATTTGTAACCGATGAACGGGATTAACTTGCGTAATAGTTAAGACAATTTATGTATTTTGACTTTTTGCTTGAAGTTTTTTTGGGTACCAATTCAAATCAGTTTTCATTACAAATGTGAAACATCTTCGGAATTTAAATCATTCTCTTAATGAACCACAAAAATAATTTACTCCACAATAACAATAGAGGACAGCAGTTCAAACGTAATAATTTTAAAGGAAGCTTTCATGTCAATTCTTTCAATTGGGTACTTGCACTTTTAGAAGAAGAAGATCACAGATACCCACACATGTGACGTCACTGCCAGCTGATCGTTTATAAGCAAAATGGCGTGTTTAAGTTGAACTAAATTTCTCCAGATAAGTTTGAATGTTAATTAAATGAATTTAATTAAATAAACGACTTTTACTCAACTTAGATTTATTATTTGTTTATGTATTTTATTGTAATCGTGATATATTTTTGTTTTGTGTACGCGGCAACTTCTATGCATAATTAGTTTATGCTCTACATGGCTTCGCGCCTGTCTTTGAGTAAAGAAAGAAATACGTAGTGAAAGAATTAAAATATTTGCGAAAGAATCTTAGTGAAGGAATATAAAATGTGTCAATTAAAAAGATTGATATTTGAAGTACTTGTCTTACTCTATAGAGAATGGAAGGAACAGTTGCTAACGTAAACAAAAGCCACGTTTCAACAACCAATCAGAATCAAGATACCCGCACTATGGCACTTGCAGGTATCCCATTAATATTAAAACATATGCTTGCAGTAGGAGACAATTGTTTATAAATGTTTACCTCGTAATACACACCGTCAACAAGTTGTACACCAATCAGAAGCGTTCCTGTGAGATCTGTGTAAGCATCTTCAGTTCGATTTAGTGATTCCGTGATCTGATCACCACAATCACTTAAAAGAGTCACAGAGTTTCCTTTGATACCCAAGGCTATCCTATGCCACCTGAAATTGCGAGATAACGGTTTATTATTTAAAATAGCTAACTACTCTAAAGCTAGACAGATTCATTATTCACAATTACTAAATACATTATAGCTAGACAATTTCGTTATTCAAAATAACTAAATACATTAAGAAAGACAGGTTCATTATTCAAGAAAACTAAATACATTAACGTTAATCATGTTCATTCTTCAAAATAACTAAATAAATAAATTCTAGACAGAATCGTTATTCAAAATTACTAAATAATTTAAAGCTAGACAGACTCCTTATTCAAATTAATTATAGACATTAAAACTAATCAAGTTAATTATTCAATATAACTATGTATGTACTACATTAAAGCTAGACAGGTTCATTATTTAAGAAAACTATAAATACATTATAGCTAATCAGGTTCGTTATTCTAGAAAACTAAATACATTTAAGCTAATCAGGTTCATTCTTCAAAATAACTAAATAAATAGAATCTAGACATATTCATTATTCAAAATTACTAAATACATTAAAGCTAGACATATTCATCATTCAAGAAAACTAACTAAGTTAAAACTAGACAGGTTCATTATTCAAAATAACTAAATACGTTGAAATTAGACAGGTTCAATATTCATAAATAAATTAATCAATTTAAACTAGTGACTTTTTTATTAAAAATCTAAACCGAATGTGTCCATGGTAATGCGTTAACCCATTACTTATTTGTTTCGAGAGACCATACAAAAATTGTCCAACTTATTATTGATGCCAATGGTGCGTAATTAATTTTTGCAGTTAGTACAACTGATATGGTGGTAATCGGAGCTGTTATAACCGATATTAAATGTAATATAGGTGTTTAATATATGTTCTGGGGTAAAGGATAAGTAACGGGAAAAAATGCTTTATTGTGATAAATTTTAACTGTTAAGAGTTGATGGCAAGCTATAGCCCCGTGCTGAATGATACTGAATATAATTTTTTACTTTGATGTTATAAATTTCTAAATATACGTTTCGCTCAGTCTAATAACGTAAAGCCACCTGGAAGAGTAACATGTAATAATAAAAGAAAAAACTTTTTCTTCAATTCATTTGATCTTTCAGTTTTGCGCGTGATTTCGTGGTGTTAATTGATACCGATTTATTATCATATTGACCGATTATTGATGATACCTAATTCGAGTGTAGGGATTTCAAATCTGCAATTGATTTCATTCTTAAAGCTACAGAATTTTTTAAAATGTCTTCTCCTTTAAAAGCAACACTTGAAACAAATAAATCATATGAGCTTAACGTATTGCATCATAAACTACAATGTACTTCCGCCTTTTTCCTGCCATTTCTTACGTAACAGAGAAGAGGAGATACTCGGTATTCAGTCGAGTGAATATTAAAGAGCCCTGGTTAAAAATATATTATTAAATTGAGTAAAAACTTAAGCTTGTCATTTTAAAAGTTTCTTGTAACAGGAAAAAAAAAATTGTTCCCCACTGTTATTTAGTTATTTTTATCTCTTACGAAAATCGGTTGTGTTCATATAAAATTATATAAATGTAGTGTCAGCATACTTTCCATCATTCACAGAAACCGGAAAAGAGACTTCAGTCAATGTAGGAACATCTTGACTCTCTCTACACATGAAGGTGATATTCTCGCCAATTCCAACCGCCAACTGTTCTTCAGCAGCATTGTTGTAAACGGTGAAGAGGAATGCCTCAGATCCCTGATTCGGTCTAATTGTTGCCAATATTGAAAAATCATATGGAAAACCTCCTAAAAACAAAACATGTGCAGCTATGAAATTAGTGATAATATATCAATATATCATAGCAAATCAACTTTTCCGGATTTTCCGGAATAAATTGTTTTCCATTTAATACGTCGATTTATGAAATATATTTGAATAAATCAAAAATTTACAAATTCATGATAAAACAGTTCTAAAATATGTGTTTGATTTTTTTTCTACACATTTTTAACCTTTACAAGAAATTTAAACGTTTAAGAAAAAAGAAAGTAACACTGTCTGAGGTGGATATAGGTGATCGATGTGGCAAAACTAATGGTCACATTAAATAAGACAATTTGTTGCTGTTATAGACGTAAAAAAATAGAAAATGTTTGTAAAAACATAACAGTGAACTTGAAAGGTTTTCGTATTCTTCCCTTCAAAGTGATTAACTCTTTACTGTGGTTATTTGCTCTCAACCACCAAAGCTGTATCGTCTGTTTTCAGATTCCAAAGCTTTTTCACTGTTTTAGTCGTGTGTCTGCTCTCGGACACCAAAGCTTTTCCGCCGCACCAGTCGGCCGCTAAAACATCAGAGCATTTTCTCCATTCCTTTCATATGTCTGCTCTCAGCCATCAAAGCTTTTTCACTGCACCAGTCGTATGTCTGATCTCAGCCACCAGAGCTTTTCTCCATTCCTGACGGATGTGTGCTCACTGTTACCAATGCTATTTCACTGTTCCCATCGTATGTCTATTTTCAAATTCCAAAGCTTTTTCGCTGTTTTAGTCGTATGTCTGCTCTCAACAATCATAGATTTTTCACCTCATCAGTCGTTTGTTTGGTCTCAGCCACCAGAGCAATTTCTCCATTCCTGTAATATGTCTGCTATCTGTGTCACCAAAACATTTTCATCGTTCCTATCATATGTCTGCTTTCAGACTCCAAAGCTTTTTCGCTGTTTTAGTCGTATGTCTGCTCTCAGCCCCAAAGCGTTTCATCCTTCCTGTCGTATCTCTGATCTTAGTCACTAGAGCATTTTCTCCATTCCTGTCGTATGTCTACTCTTGTTCGATGGAATTCGAGTCTGGTTGAACACTCTGACCTTTCAACATTTTTGGTTTAATTTTGACCGACCCAATCTTGTGCAGACAGCATTGTCAGTCATAAATACAAGCTAGAAGCCGACGACACCTCTGAACAACTTTCATAGCTTCTTGAGTTTCATTGAAGGAAAGTTGAAACAATTACTAAACTAAGCTACCTTAAAAAAATTTCAACCGAAACTTAATCATAATTTTAGAAAAAGACATAGACAGGCAGAAAGAAGCATTGAAGGGAGAGGAGTGCATATCGTTTTGAAGACTTTCAAGCAACTTTTGATATACATATCAACATTTAGTGAAATGGGTATAAAACTTTATGCGTTTCTCATTTTAGAACGAAACTTACACTTAAACCAGTTTATTAGATCAATTATCAACATAGATCAGTTAAATCATATTCTAACATAATTAATCAATTTGTCTAGCCAGGCCTGCCAACTATTACGCTTTTTGGAAAATATTTTACAGAGTGATAGGCATTTAAAAACCAAAGCTTTTTTGCTAATTTTACTGACATTTCTTAAGCTTTTCCACGAGATAGATGAAAAAGTGGCGTTACATATGAACTTTTAAATCATTTATGTATAGTGGTATGGAAAATAAGTTTGAATCCATAAGCCATAATACATTAAAACATAAACTTAGTTACCAATACAATACTTTTTTTACAAAAAGCGTAGAAATTTGGTAGTCCTGGTTATTATTAAAATCATATAATTAATCAATTCAGTTATTAATCAATCTATATCAGTAATCAATTTAGTTACCCATCAAATCATACCAGTAATCAATTAAGTTATCAATCAAATTATATCAGTAATCAATTTAGTTATCAATCAAATCACACCAGTAAGCAATTATATTATCAATCAAATCATATCAGTAATCAATTTAGAGATTCTGTCATTCTTTTTGGGTGAGTGTGCACCGTCATTTAACGTAAGTGAAAATTTCGATGTAGTAACTAACCTTTAAAAAGTTGTGAAGTTGTGGTCGTGAGTACAGCTGTTTCTGTGATACCATAAGCGATGTCTGGCGCTCCATAGATCGGATTGCCGTCGTTGTCTATTCCTGTTGCTCTGTTGTCACACATGCCCGTCGACTGTTTGACACCTAATGGCTCTTGTCTGATGTTGACTGCTCTCAGAAGATCAACAGAACCTAAAAATATAAGTTCGATTATAATGTGTGTGATATGTGTGTTCGATTATAATTAACGCGTAAAACAGCAGCAATATCCCACAAAAATTTATTCCCAAGTAAATTATGAAAATCGGAAATTCAAGTGGTGAGAAGAAAATGCCACGCGGAAAAATTTACAAGGAGCTGCTTAAAAAATGCAGAAATGAAGAAAATATAATGAAATATCAGTAGAAGTAGTGGAGTTATGAGCAATTCAATAGACGTAAGCCTTATCAATGCTACAAATATGGATCTACTAATGACAATTGACCTCAGTGCCCAAAACAGAAGTACCAAAAGTCACTCGCTCAAATTAATCGAATCGTAATACAAGAAGACCGATTACTAACAGGGCTAGATTACTAACTCTGTATACTCTTATGGTGAAAGTAACTGAATTTAAAATTATTACTTCCGAAATCAGATGCAACAATTGATGTTTTATGCCAAAAATTTGTGACTCCAGATATGTTTACGGATAAAACTGTATGGGTACAACAACCATTAGATGAAGGCTTAACTTGTTTGTCACTAGCAAGAGTTTCGATACCTGGACAGTTTGGCGACATTGCTATGCTTAAAAGTGAGTAGGATAAAGGTCGTTATCTCCTTTGGAATAAAACTGCAGCTAGATTTCCAAATCTACATATAACGCATATACAAATTTCAGAGTTAAACGCAGATAATATCAGATCTCAAACTCGTTTAAAAGCTGAAAGTGAAGAATATTGCGTAACGAAATTCGAAAGCTATCGGAAATTCATCCGAACAAAATAATAAAAATCAAGAATTTATTGTAAATTAAAAAGATGATGAGCCAGTTTTGGAAACAGATGCTGTTAGTTCAAAAATGGAAGAGATATTACCAACTTTAGATACCAATTCGGGTGGACTTCCTTTGATACAGGTAGATCACGATAGATTTGTTAAAGCACAACAGGAAAGTTCCGAGTTAGAATCATTTTTTGAAACTGAGGAAAAAGGTATTCAGAAACAAAGCTATCTTGTTGAAAGAAAACTTCTTTCTAAGGGCCAAGAAGGACGGTTAAAAGAAGAAAAAAATCATTTATACCTGAAGAATTTAGAAGCCGAATTTTTTAAAGTTATGTCATGAAAGTACTTCCGGAAACTTTGGCTTAACCGAATTCAAAGACAAACTGGCACGATATTATTTTTGCTGTAACAAGACGTGGCATTGAAAAGGAAATCGTATTATGATAAAAATAGTATCAGGAAAGAACTCAGAGCCAGAGATACGGTTCTTGTTTTGGCAACGTCTAGAGCTAATAAGTTGTCTGCTCAATGGATTGGGTCGGGGAAGATATAAAACAAAATGTCCCATAGCTAACTATTTAGTTAATATTCCTGGAAAAAGAGAGAGTTCACAGATTTATCATGTCAATATGTTTAAACCAGTGGTTCCTGAACTTTTTTGTCTCGTAGACCCTTTGCCATATTTTTTTGGTTTTGGGTTACCTGACATTGATATTTTGTAAATTCTTCAACTTCAAATATATTTTTGACAGCTGATACAGTGCTGCTCACTGTGAAAGATTGAAATTTCTATCTTTTTGTGGATATAATTGTGTGAGCTGATGAATAGATTATATCTTTTTTTTCCTGATTTTTATTGAACTTTTTTTAAATAATTTTTTCCATGTTTTTTCCACATTTTGAACTTATATATATAGATGGATATATAAAGGTTAGATTATCAATGGTTTTATTCTTTTGGTGAAAATACAAAAATGTTTTTTCAATATTTCAAAATTTTATGACTAAATGATGTTACACGAAAAGGAAGTTTGAAAATTAAATTAGAGCTACGCTTTTCTAATTTAAAATGTTTAAACTACTTAACAAAGGTTGTCAGACATTAATCCACCTGTGTCAGGCATAGGTTTAAAAAATAAAAGGTAGCAGCAAGATTTTCAAAGTTGGTCATTGCTTTAATTGATCACTCGAGCGGTGAAATAAATCCACTCCAGATTAATAATATATATATGAAAAATGATAGTTTATTTTCCCCTATAAAAACTAGGAAAGTAATTATTTATCTTGCCATTATAATGAATATGTGAGCTCAGTGAAGAGAGCTTACTAACTAAATATATGTTCCTGAAATAAATGTGTTTTTTTTCCCTTTAACTTGCTCTCATTAAAAAAATAATAATAAAAAAAAACTAGTTTTTTTACCCATTTGCAAAATGGGTCTTGGTTTGAATTTCATGGAGTCCTCACTTTTCAACTACAATAATCAAGAGTAATAGTGAAGAGTGCTCATGTGTTGCTATGGCGACCGCTGCGTTTGATCATTTTCTTAGAATTCTTTTCTTTTTTTTTACTTTTAATTTTGTTACACAATAAATGGGTGAATTAATTTTTGAGATATGGGAGTAGAGAGATCCCATAAATACTTCTTGAATTGTGAATAAAAGAGAACTTCATCATTTAAACGATATTTTTGTTTTTATTGTTTTAATTAAGAATCAGAAATTCTAACCTACAGTTCAAACTGGATCGTTTTCAATACTAGTTCAGGTGAATATCTATGAATACGAATATATATACGTTGCTATGGCGACCGCTGCGTTTGATAATTTTTTTTAGAATTCTTTTCTTTTTTTTACTTCTAATTTTGTTACGCAATAAATGGGTGAATTAATTTTTGAGATATGGGAGTAGAGAGATCCCATAAATACTTCTTGAATTGTGAATAAAAGAGAATTTCATCATTTAAACGATATTTTTGTTTTTATTGTTTTAATTAAGAATCAGAAATTCTAACCTACAGTTCAAACTGGATCGTTTTCAATACTAGTTCAGGTGAATATCTATGAATATGAATATATATACGTTGCTATGGCGACCGCTGCGTTTGATCATTTTTTTAGAATTCTTTTCTTTTTTTTACTTCTAATTTTGTTACGCAATAAATGGGTGAATTAATTTTTGAGATATGGGAGTAGAGAGATCCCATAAATACTTCTTGAATTGTGAATAAAAGAGAATTTCATCATTTAAACGATATTTTTGTTTTTATTGTTTTAATTAAGAATCAGAAATTCTAACCTACAGTTCAAACTGGATCGTTTTCAATACTAGTTCAGGTGAATATCTATGAATATGAATATATATACGTTGCTATGGCGACCGCTGCGTTTGATCATTTTTTTAGAATTCTTTTCTTTTTTTTACTTCTAATTTTGTTACGCAATAAATGGGTGAATTAATTTTTGAGATATGGGAGTAGAGAGATCCCATAAATACTTCTTGAATTGTGAATAAAAGAGAATTTCATCATTTAAACGATATTTTTGTTTTTATTGTTTTAATTAAGAATCAGAAATTCTAACCTACAGTTCAAACTGGATCGTTTTCAATACTAGTTCAGGTGAATATCTATGAATATNATCCAGTTCTCGTATTTGCATTGTTATTAACATATTTATTTATAAACACTTTTCGAAATTAAGCAGTTATAAAATCAGAAAGGAAAAAAATTTAAAAATTTGAAAGTAGTGGAAGAACAACAGTATCTAAAGTCTGGATTTCTTGAGGGTGTGGTAGGGCTGGAAATAGTTCTTGCACAGTGCTGCTACGTTGCAAGAGGTGCACACTATTTTCGAGCGTGCCTCTTTATTCATTTTTACGCACCAAGCACATCTATTGCGCATTTTTCCTTCAATTGGGAAATGGTTTCCAACATTGAAAAGTCTCGTTGTTGATGATGATGATATAGTTTTGGAGGAAGAGGGCCTTTGCTTATTGACTTCCTTGTTCACATTTCCAAATGTTCTTTCTTTCCATTTCCATACTTTCGTTCGTACATTGGGCAGTGTAAATGAATAAGCTTTCGGGAAAGATCTTGAAGTAAGCATACACTTTGGTGGCTTCGTTGCCAATAGAGATATTTGTTTGGCCTTTGATGTAACTAACTAGTGGCATTCATGGTGCAAAGTTAGTTGGATAGGACCATGAAAATGACGGTGGATTCTAGTTCTGGAGCTCAACTTCATCATCAAACAAATCATTATGATTGGGTGACACGACTTCATTGCCGGTCTCCTCTACAGTGTTTTCAGTTTTCAGAAGGCTCACTTTTATAAGCGAGCTGTCTCAACTTGTTTTCAGGGTAAATTCTCTTTTGACTCATTTCGACCGTTTAGCAGAGAAAGGAGCCATCGAATTGTTTAAAAATAGTGGTGGTTGAAAACCTAATGAATTGAATTTATTAAAACAATAATCACAGTTAATAAACTACCACTCGAAAATATTTATTCGCTGTCGGGAGCAAGTTGTCGCTTGCTTGATTAGATCTGGAATGATTGACGTGAGAAATTCATGGAACGATGAGACGGCCTTAAAATCGGTTTGGAGACCAAAGTGGGCGTTATTTTCTGTCCTAGATATTTTTCAGTAACTGGGACATATGTTGTCCCATCCGTAATATCAAAAATTTACCAGACTGGGACAGCACATGTCCCGTCCGGTTCGAAAGGGTTAAATGGAATAATTTAAATGAATTTATCGCATTAGCCCGTTATATTTAATAACATTATTTATTTATTAATATTGACCGGTCAACCTGTTAATAAGCGACTACTTCACATTGACCGTAACAAAAAAACTATTAAAGTATCACCTGAATCAAAATAGGGAATGGTTACAACAAGAAGGGGAAGCATGTATAAGTGCAATGTTATGGAAAACAAAATATTAGAAGAAAATGTGATTGATTGCCTGCATATGTTCTTAAATATTTCCGTATTTAATAGGAAATGCTAATAAAGGAAAGACATTTTTTCTTGAATCACGGTAAAAGAAAAGTTATATTTCTTAATAAAAATAACTTAACTCTTTGAGTGGTAGTTTAAAATTATAGAAAAATAATAATAACATTTTTTATGCTTTTAATAGAACTGGACGATGTATCGTAAAATATTGATATTTTTACTTGTCGCAATAACAATACTCGT